AAACATGTCTAACTTAGGGGGAATTCCCTGGTGGTCCAGGCGCTGACTTGGTGCTTTCAATGCTGTACCTCCGATTCAACCCCTGATTGGCAAACTAAGACCCCACAAGCCCTGCTGCTGCTGCTGCTAAGTCGCTTCAGTCGTGTCCGACTCTGTGCGACCCCACAGACGGCAGCCCACCAGGCTCCCCTGTCCCTGGGACTCTCCAGACAAGAACACCGGAGTGGGGTGCCATTTCCTTCTCCAATGCATGAAAGTGAAAAGTGAAAGTGAAGTCGCTCAGTCGTGTCCAACTCTTAGCGACCCCATGGACTGCAGCCTACCAGGCTCCTCCATCCATGGGATTTTCCAGGCAAGAGTCCTGGAGCGGGGTGCCATTGCCTTCTCCGCTGCAAGCCCTGAGGCTCAGTCAAAAAACAAAAAATCCGGAGCAGGAAGAGTCACAGATATAGAGAACACACTTACCCAGGGGAAGGAGGTGGGACAATTGGGAGACTGGGATTCACTGTGTACAATGCAAAGTGTATACACTTCTATGCATAAAATGAGAACCTACTGTGCAGCACAGGGAACCCTCCTCAGTGCCCCGCGGTGACTTCAATAGGAAGGAAACCCACAAAGGGGGGATCTGTGTATACGTATAACTGATTCATCTGGCTACACAGCAGAAACTTAACACAACATTGGAAAACAGCTACACTCCAATAAAAATATAAAATCTGTTTTAAAAATATGCTGTGCAGAGCCTCCTGGAAGGAGAGAAGAAAACTAAGATCCGTTAGATATTAAAAGAGGGGTGGGATCCACTCCCGAGGAATTTGTGGAAAGTGGGTAGGGGTGAAGTCATGGAGGGCTTCGAGGAGGAAGTGTCATTTGAGTTGGGCTTTCACAGACAGCTGCGGCTTGGAGGCGTGCTGAAACTAGGGTGGGAAAAGACCTTCTGGGCAGAGCAGCAGGGTGAACCAGCCTGGGTGTGCCTGGTTTGGCAGAGAGGCGTGTAATGAGTTCCATAAGTAGTTTCCACAAGGAGCACTTGATCTTGATTGTCCCTTGTCTGCCAAGATGAGGGATGGTTCAGAGGCTCAGACATCAGAGGCTTGGCAGCCAGGCTGCGTGGGCTTGCTGAGACCACAGACCTGCTTGGCTCTGGAGGGGTAAGGAGGTGCCACTCGGGTTTGGGGGTACATACAGGGGACAAGTTCCTCCCTCTGTTCCCCACCTCACAGCCTGTTCAGGAAGGTGTACTCCTCCAGGAATGCCTGGAGATGTGATTTGTCAGGGTGGTGGCATTTTGATATCTCATTTCCATTATGGAAGCTTTTAAAGTTGCCCAATATATTCATTATTCTTTTTTTGGCTGTGCTGGCTGCTATGCAGGCTTTTCTCTAGTTGCGGCAAGCAGGGGCTACTCTCTTGCTGTGGCGCACAGGCTCTAGAGTTCCTGGGCTTCAGTAGTTGCGGGCTTAATTGCCCTGCGGTATGTGGGATCTTCCCGGATCAGGGATCAAACTCGTGTCGTCTGCATTGGCAGCTGGATTCTTTACAACTGAGCCACCAAGGAAGCCCTATATTCATTATTCTTGAAATGAATTGGCTCTAAGTAACTGACACTCTGTTCACGGCTGCGTCTCACTCTGTCCTCCCCAGGACTCTCATGAAGGAGGGGAGATGGAATTCCAACAGGTTACATATCTTGCCAGAGGTCACACACCTAGTCTTGCAGAGGAAGCAGAACTTAAACCCAGAACATGCACCCTGAAAATGATCCTAAACTTCATAAATGACCCTGTCTGGCTGCAGTACTGCTTAAAAAAGAAAAAGTCAAGCAGAAACAAAAATGAACTGCAAAAGCAGTTGAACAAACAATAGTACTTAGCAAACCAAGCTTAGCTTTGCTTGAATCTCTGGAAAAAGGAAATGAGAACCAAGCCATATCCCACAACAGCACTTCTTCTTTATGCTACTGATGTACTTAAAACATATGTATTTATTTCAAAATAATATATTTAGAGTATCTGAAAAATAAACAATTTATTGAGGCATATAATAAAAGCTGCAGTCTGTATCCCACCTTTTTCAGATTCTTGCTCACATGGACAACTAGGTTCAACCCTTCTGTAGCTTCTAGCACTTACTTCCGTATCCCTAAAGCACACAGGTGTGAGCTTGAACATCTGCATGTTTGTGCTCGTATTTCTGGTGATTTTGATTCTATATATATATATATACAAAATGTGTTTATTGGGATGGTTTCCCATTCATTCTGATGCAGGGTACTTTCAGTGTTCCTTCTGTCTGAAGGAGCATCCTTCTGGAAGCCTTGCTTTTCCTCCTGTAGGCTGTCAGAGGACAGAAGAGCAACCAGCAACAAAACTACTGTTTGTGTGTGGCTAAAGTCGTGGGTGACTTTATAGCATCCTGGGCATCTCACATCCATGAAATAGGAATTGGGGCTCTGCACCAGGCGCTTCTTCTGGTGTTTCCTCTTCTCTTCTTGAGAGGGATGAAGGACATCCTTTGTGAGAGGCACGTTCTCATGGCAAGTTCATCACCATCAGGAAGCAAGATTTTGATTCCTTATCATTTCTCCTTTATGTTGAATTCCCCATTGCTTGGATCCTGGGGCTCCCCTTCCCTTCATTGATTTCTTTCTTTTTTTTTTTTTTTAATTAATTAATTAATTTATTTATTTTTTATCACAACCTTATTTCTTTATTTTTGAAAATTACATCCTCTGGGAATTTCCTGGTAATGGATGCGGAAGTGTCTGCAAATGTCTATGTTCAGGCTTTACCCATGATTGACAGTTTGGCTGGGTATGGAATTCTGAATAGAAATCCTTTCCTCCCTCAGAGTCTCAAAGACCTGGCTCCATTGTATTCTAGTTTCCAGCCCTGCGTTACTTGAAGCCACATTTCCTGGTCACCATGCTGCTCCTTTCCGTTCCTCCCTCCACAGGCAGGATAGCCTCTGATTCTCTTCACCCCTCCCCTCTCTGGCCTCCAATCCTCCAGCCCCAGAGGCCCCTGTCCTTTAAAATCTCTCCTGCCCTTCCCTTCTCTTGTTCTGTTCCTATGCCCACCCCCCTGATTCTGCCTCATAGATGCCCAGAAACTGTGAGGAGTGGAGCAGAGATGCTGGAAATACTCCTAGGCTCATCAGATGTGTCCCCTTTACAAGTGTTATGCCCCAGAGCCCATATTTCTCCCTCTACACCAAGGCATTTTTTCCTGGTGAGGAGGTGGAGAGTTGTAGAATCAGCAGGGCTGAGAGAATTTAATCTGAAGTAACTGTCCAGGAGAGTTAATTCTCGCCCTCACACTGACATGGGGAACACTGCTCCATAGCACTCTATGGAGTTCATAAAAATATGAACTTCCCTGGTGGGCCAGTGGTTAAGACTCTGAGCTCACAGTGCAGGGGTTGAACCCCTGGTCAGGGAACGAAGGTCCCTCGTGCCACATGGCATGGCACCCACCCTCCCCCCACAAAAGGCAGTAGTGTCATGTAAACAAAAGTCAATGGTCACAGTATAGAACATTCCCACAGGACAACGTGGAAAGGACCAACAACCCAATAAAAGAGTAAATCCATAGATTAAGTGACCCAAGACACTTTCACTATGGAAGCAGGGAGGGGGCTGTTCTTCCTCTCTCTGTCCCTCTTTCTGTGGGCTTGGCTAGCTGGACATCTGTGTAGGGGCTCTGGGATCAGGAGGGATGGTTAGAATCTGTCCACTGGGGTAGCCAGCAATAATGGCTACCTGGCCAGCCCAATCCTGTATCTACCCTGCCGGGGCTTTCAGCTCCTGCTGTTAACCCAGCTGTCACACTGTTGGTCCAGGGTTAGAACCATCTTACCCTATTTGCGGACCTCCCAACCTTAGGAATCTTTCTGGAAGCTCCTTGCCCAGGTTGCACCAATCAGAGGCCTGGCCCCGCCCTTAAACCGAGAACTGATAAGTGAGGCCACGAGGTGGAGTCTGTAATGCAGCAGCATCAGGGACCAGTGACAATGTAGGAAGGGAAATCTATCTTATAGAAATATAAAACTATTTTGTAATTTTTGGAGTGTTTTTGCATGTTATCCTTTTCTAAAAAAGCTTTTACTGTCAAATACTTACACACGAGTATATAAAACATGCATGTACAGTGTAAAAAATTAGAAAGCAGACATCCTTGGGACTACTACCCTGATCAAGAAGTACTTTCTTGTACAAAATTACTGCTCCCCAATGACCCAGCACCCTCACCTCCAGAAACACAAGATAAAACGTGTACAAGGACCTGTAGGGAAACATGTTCTGAATGGCAAAATCCAAAATAAAAGGAGCGGGAACTGTGCTGGCACCTACACTTGATGCCCACGCCCCGGGTAGGGATGAGATGAGGATGATGGCAGCTGAGGCTCTGCCCTGATGATTGGCTGGTGGACTGGGGGGGCAGAAGCACCAGCTGGCCTGACTCAAGGTTTCTTCATTTCAGTCCCTCGTATAAAAATAAAATCTTCAAGTCTCCATTGTGTCTCTGTTGAGCGATTCCTCTTTAGGGAATGTAGCCCATGTACACGGCAATAAATATGGCCAAAACTTCCGGCTCGAAAGTCGTCATCTCAAGACCTCCCCAGCCCATTGGTTGAGACTCTGACTTTCCACTGCAAGGGGCATGGGTGTGATCCCTGGTTCGGGGACTAAGATCCCACGTGCTGCAGGGTGTGCCCTCCCTCAAAAAAGTCATCATGGCCATATTTTTAGAGCCCCCAAATAAAAACATTTTGAAGTCCAAGAATGGGTAAACAAATTCTGATTAAAATTTGTCAAAAAAATAAAATAAAATTTGTCTTTGTCATTAGAATGACCGTTTATGTCGTGGTCATTCAGGGAGAAAATCTGAACCATGTGGAAAATGCTTATGTTAAATAGAAGATGCAGAAAAACACGACTGTTTATAGAATATGAGCACAGGATGTACAAAGTAAAAGAGAAGACGAAACCATCTCCTTCACCAAAATGTGAAGGGAAATAGAAAAGAGATGAGGAGGGAGAAGGTAAAAATCAACCTTCTCAAGATTGCCTCCAGGAACCCTCTGCTCCGAGGCCTACACTGTCTCGGCAGGAGGTAAACTGGTGTCGCCCCGCGAGGGACTCCGTCCCGCTGTGGTGCGTCCTGCGCTGCATGCGCGCCCCCGCAAGACCTGGGCACCGTGCGGTTCTCTGAGGTCCAGGCAGACCTAGAACTGAGCTCCCATCTTCCTCCCTTGAGGCCCGCCCCCTTCAGAGAGGAGGGGAAGGGGAACTCCAGCTTGGAGGCTTCCTCCCGCCTCTCTCTCCACGTGGCCCAGCTGGCTCCTGAGTTGGTCTTCCAGCCAACAACTGGTCCCATCAGAGCTGTGGCCTCAGGTCCTCAGGGGAGCAGCTGGGGCAGTTCTGGGGCCCACGGGAATGGTGGCACCGGGTCACCAGGGTGGGTGGCACTCATCCCCTGCTTTCCTCAGCTGAGCCCCGAGGCCGCTTCCTGGAGCCCCCGAGGGAGGGTGGCCTCAGGCTGATGGCACAAGGTCAGGGTCCGACCCTCGAGGAGCCAGAAAATGGGGTAGAGGGGCCGGGTGAAGATGGCATGGAAGGTGTGAAGGGGTTGGGTCTTGGGTTCCAGGCTGTAGAAGGTGAGGCAGCCAGAGGCCATGTCCAAATCCACGCCCAGGAGCCGCCCTGACACGGCTGGGAGGCGCCGGGCCTTCCCGTCGTGCCAGGCCTGGGTGCAGTCCTCCTGAATGCAGAGGCCCCAGGAGCTGGGCCCACGGCCGATGTTGTCCGTGTGGGGCCCCTGCCTGCGCCTCGTCAGTTCCGAGTAGGCGACACCCAGTGTCACCGAGTGGCTGGATGCACGCACCTCCCAGTAGTGCTGCCCGGCCTGGAAGCTCTGGGCACACTGCACCTGCCAGAGCTCGAAGCTGCCTGGCCTGTCTGGGCCCCGGGGCTTTAGAAGGTGCTTTACTCGCTGGTCCTGCTGAGACAGGTAGAGGTGGCGGTTGGCACTGACAGGGTCGAAGGTCAGGTTGCGATAATCTGTTGGGCAGAGGCGGATGGAAGGTGAGTGAGTAAGGGCACCTGTGCCTGGCCATCACTCTGTTCTCAGAGGGGACAGGCAGCAATTGAATTTCCATCGACGGACCCCCCCCAGACATCTGCGGGGGTCACTGGAAGCTGAGCGAACGTGGGCATCATCTCAGCATCTGATCCTCTGTGTGACCCCTGAGGTGGAACTTTCCATCAGGCTCATTTCACAGATGAGAAAACTGAGGTTCAGAAAGCTAACCTAACTTCATAGTAAGTGGAAGAATCGTGATCGATCCCAGGTTCGTGCACCCAGAATCTCCTTAAACGCTACACAGGCTGCATGTTGCAGGGTGCACAACCTGCAACAGGTATGCAGGGAAGTGGGTGCAAGGCCAGCCCTAGGGAGGGGCGTGAAGCAGGTTTCCTGGACAGAATAGTCAGGAAACAGTAGGTGCCCCCCGACACATGCACAGGGACACACACATGTGCTCGCAATGCACACAAGAACACACATGTACCCTCATGTACGTACAATGCACTCACACACACATGCTCACACAGGTGCAGACACACGTGTGCTCTAGGCCTCCTTACTCTGCCAGAGTCTCCTCCTCAGTGGACACACGGGGCTCAGGACTGGTGCCAGGGGACCTGGGGCCTCTATGGGGCAAAGCAGGGTTTTAGGGGAGTCATCAGGAGGAACGCTCATGGGGGCCAGGCCATTGACTCCATTCCCACCCCCAGTGGGAGGGTTGCTGGGCCCAGAGGGGCAGGCAGAGGTCTGGGATCAGCCTTACCCACGGAGCCCAAGTCAGCAGCCTCAGCTGGTCCTCCAGGGTGAGCCCCATCTTCCAGGAGGAGGGCACACAGCTGGCTCAGTAACTCCTTCAGACCGCCCAGCTGCTGATCTTCGTCCCACTGTGGGAGAGTCAGTGGCCCGAGAGGGCCTGGGGGCACCAGTTGCTGTGACTCCTGAGCGCAGGGGACAGCTGCAGTAAGCCCGGGCACAAGTGGTAGGTCCAGTGGCCCCCCGGCCTGCCTCCCGGAGGCCTGGTACCTGGAAGAAGGTCTGGTCATCCAGATGCTCCAGGAGGTGGCAAATCCTGCGATCACAGAGAGACATGGCCTCCAGGTGGCGCTGCAGGCGCTGTTTCTCCTCCTCGGCCTGCTCCAGGGCCTGGGTCTTGGCCACATTGATGTCCCTCAGAGCCCTGGCCCGCTGCAACTCCAGGGCCTGCAGCAGGCGGCTGATCTTGCCAGAGACCACGGAGGTCAGGGTGCAGGCTGAGTTCTGGGTGGGCACAGGAGGAGCTGAGGACAGCTAGGGCCCTGGGCTGCCCACTGGGCTGGAGGGTGGGGAGTTGGGGAGCCAAGGTCTCTGTGCTCCCCCCGCCCCACCCCCGGCTCTTCATTTCCTGCTGCTGGGAGGCATTTTCAAGGTAGCTCATGCCTACTGCCCAGTGTCCCAGGGCCTGGCTGGTGGCCGCCTGAAGGACACGCACGAGGACATGGGGGGGAGGTGGCGGGGGGACAGGCCTGGTACCTGGATCTGGCTGCTTCGCTGCTGCAGCTCCTGTAGCTGCCTCTTGGCCTGGGCAGCCTGCTGCTGAGTGGCCTCCAGCGTGGTTCTCAGCTGGGCCTGTGGGCCCCCCGGGGGATGAGTGACAAGAGGGGGCCAGGACTGGCTGTTAAGTCCCCCTCAGTCAATCAGCAAGCACCTGCAGATGCTCAGCCTCCCCTTCTTGTGCCACCCGGGTGAGGCCCACACACAGGGCATCAGCCTTGGTTCTGAGCCCTGGGGAACTGGGTCAGGGTCCCAGGGAGGCCTAGACAGAGCCCCTGCCCCACCAGGAGCAGAGTGGTGCCCAGGTGGTACAGAAGCCTTGGGCTGAACACGAGCAACATGGTTATACTCTCAGGACTGCAGGACGGCACCCCCGCTAGGACCTGGGGCCCTGCACCCTGTCCAGAGCCTGTCTTGCTTCTGCTTGTCCCGGCGACACCCTGAAGTGAGAGACCCATGTTATCCCCGCTTCACAGATGAGGAAACAGGTCAGGGAAGTTCATAACTTGGCCAGATGACTGGATCTCCCCAAGTGTAATGCTCACGCCTCGGTCCGAGCTGCAGAGCCTCCAGCACAGGACAACATGCTGGAGGTAGGAAGGGGCAGGGCAGTGTTTCCTGGTTCACCCTGACTCTCCCCCAAGGGCGCAGCCCTGCCCTCACACCCCAGCATCACTGCCCCTCCGCTAGCCAAGTTCCAGCTCCTTCAGAGCTTCTGCCGTCCAGCTGTACCACCTATTCCTCCCTGCAAACTTCCACACTCCGTGCACTGCATTCAGCCCCCTGGGCAGTAACCTCTTGTCCTGCCTGCGTCCTCAGCGTCCGCGGGGACTGTCTGTCCTCCAGCACTCGGCTCTGGGCTCCTTGAGCTCCTCACTCCACCCCAGCTACTCACTCCCGTATCCTTACCCTGGACGTGGCACCGGCCCTGACATCTCTACTCCAAGCATCCGTGTCCTGACCGCCACCTCCTCTCAACACGGAATCAAAACGGGGCCAAGCCCGCGGCTGAAGCTGCCCGCCCCTGCCCGGGCGCGGAGAGCTGTGCGGGTCCCCAGCGAGTCACCTCGCGCGCCCGGCGCTCCGCGTCCAGCAGCACCCTCTCGTGGAGGCGACACTCACGCACGGTGCACACGCAGCACACGCAGAGGCCTTCGGTGCGGCAGAAGAGCTCGAGCGGCCGGCCGTGCCGGGGGCAGCGCGCGCCGGGGCCGGGATCGGGGCAGGGGCCGGGCTTGGCGCGCAGCTGCTCCACTACGCCGCTCAGAGCCACGTTGCGGCGCAGCTCGGCGCCGTCCGGGAAGGGCTCCCGGCACTCGGGGCACACCTTCTCGCAGCGACCCCACCAGTCCCGGATGCAGGCCCCGCAGAAGTTGTGGCCGCAGCGCAGCGTCACCGGCTCCTTGTAGAGCTCCAGGCAGATGGAGCAGGTCAGCTTCTCCTCCAGCTGCTGCGCGGCCATGGCGGCGGCGCGCGGAAGGAAGGCCGGGGCCTCTTAAAGGGACCGCGGGCGCCGGGGTGTGGGTGCGGCGGGTGGAGCGAGGACCCGCCGGGGTGACAACTTTTTCCCGTCCGACCAGACCAGCCGCCACTCCCAGCGTCTGCCCGCCGCAGCACGCCCGTTCCGCCCAGCGCCGACGGCTCCGGCCCCGACTGCCTTCTACCGCCCAGGCTGGGAGACGGGGTCCAGCTCTCTCTGGACTTCATCCCGCTTCCCGAGACCCTCACTCCAACAGCTCCCGTGCAGGGGACCTGGCCCCAGGTTCTGGAGACTAGAGCCTTGGGAAACTCGTTGGGCTTTCAAGCCTCCTGCTGGCTAAGGGCCACCACTAGCACCTCTTCTGAAAATCTAACACAAGTAACACTGACAACAGTTGTCTACCTCCCAGGGGTTTCGGCCGTTCAGTCAATCAGGACAGCAGGCGGGCCTGCCCGGCGGAGCACTGGGCACGCAGCGTGTGCTCATTCAGTGCCCCCGGACCCATGGGGCTCCGCTGCACTTTCCCTTGAGCTGAGTGTCAGGCGCTTGCCCGACTAGGTGTCTCCCCTCTCTAGGCTATGCCTAATTTTGGTTCTTTTAAAGTGAACAGTGGGGTGGGAATGTCTGCTTACCAAGAGGCAGAGACCAGAAAATAGCAGTTCCTCCCCACCCCCTTTAATGGAAGCCCAAAGTCTTCAACTGCAATTGGAATACTGTGCTGGGGAAGAGTTCCTTGTTTGCAGGTCCAAACTGTTCTGGAACCCCACTTCTTAAGAGAGTTGGTTCCCTTGCAGCTGAGCAGAGGGGGTCTTGACCACTAACCCACCATCCCTGGCAGTGTGCTGGGCCAGTGCGAGAGGCAGGACATCCTTTCACTTCAATGCAGCAAACCTCGTATTGTCTTGTTTTGTAATATGTTTATAGTTTCTTTCTGATCTCTTAACTGGCTCCTTGGCAATCTTCTTTAGAGAAGAGAAGTACCCTAACCACCCAGCAAGCATGCAGGAGCTTCCAGGGCCCTGAGCAGGGCGGTGTGCCCAGAGACCTCTGAGACCTGCCTGTGCCCCACCTGACAAACCTTCTGTTTCAAAGCTTCTGGAAGCTGGGAGCCTGAGAAAAGCTGGCAAGGGGTCAATGCCCAGGGCTGGCAAATTTCTTTCAAGAGGCCTGTGGGGGCAGCCAGGGCCCACCACCCGCATTTCTTCTGCACACCTCTTCAGGCACTGGATCACAGGGCCTCTGACAGCCTCAGGAAGCAGAGGTGAGGGGGCACCTCCCGGGGTGGGAGGCAGCCCTCTGCCCGCCAATAAAGCAACAGGGTTCCAGCAGGGGGCGCTCTGGCCATTGCCAGAACATAAACCCAGACCAGCTACAGCAAACATCTTTATTGGAAACCCTACCCCCAGCCTTCTTCCCCGCCACGCCCTGAGCCTGCTGGGAGGGTGGCAGCAGGCGGCCTCAGGCAGGAGAACCCCAGGGCTTGGCCCCTCGGCGCTGGGTCTCTGTTGCCCCCGCCTGCAGAGCCCGGCAGGGTGGCCTGAGGAGCTCAGTGCGCTCTGAGGTGGGGGCACTCCGCTCACTCAGTAGATGCCATAGGTGGGTTCCTGGCTGACCCTGTACCGGTCCAGGTAGCGCAGGGGCTGCCGGTGGGGGAAGCACTTCTGCTCAGGGTGATAAGGGGGAGGCCGCACAAACTCAAACACAGGCTCACGCATGTCTGCAGGAAGAGTGAAGGAGAGGCCTGGGTGTGGACTGCTGCTGGCCTGAGCCCATCTGTCTGCCTGCTCTGGGGGACTGCCCGGCCAGCCCACCCAGGAATGGCACGCCTGCTGGTGGCCCTCCGCTGACAGGCACTCCTGGCATGTCAGGGGAGGTCTGTGCGCTCGGACCAGCCGCTCCCCCTCGCCCACTCGGCCCTCACCCAGCAGCTGCTGTCAGGGGGGGCCTGTGCGCTCGGACCAGCCGCCCCCCCTCGCCCACTCGGCCCTCACCCAGCAGCTGCTGTCAGGGGGGGCCTGTGCGCTCGGACCAGCCGCCCCCCCTCACCCACTCGGCCCTCACCCAGCAGCTGGTGGAAGATGTGGGTGACGGAGTCATCCCAGCGGCACTGGAAGAAGGCCAGGCCAGCCGGGGCCATGGCGTCCTGGTGTTTCTTGTAAAAATCAAAAGTGTGGAAGGTCCGCTGGGCAAGCTGGTAGCTGCAGGAGGAGGGGAGCATTTGAGAGTTGCGGGCGGGGGGATCAGAGCCCCACACCCCACCTCTGGTCCCACAGGCAATGCTGAGACACCCCTTAGGGCCTGCCTAGCACAGCACAGCTACCCTTCTGCTCGCCTCCAGGCCCAAGTGATGAGAGAGGAGGCCTGAGGGAGACTGACCATCACTGGGAAGCTGGCCTGAGCCTGGGGGGAGCTGGGGTGGGGAGGCACCGATTACCAGGGTGAGGGCCGGGCGTCCCCGGAGAAGTCAATTGGCTTGTCCTGCTTGAAGAGAAGGAAGGCAAAGCGGTGGAAGCCGGAGCCTCGGGCGGGGAAAGGGGGGAGGTAGGGACACGTCTCCTGTCCTTCAGCCACCCTGCTGCCCGGGATGTTGGTGCTGGTGGGAGAAAAAGCATCTGTTAATTGCCACTCGCCGCAGGCAGCAGCAGGAACATCCCCACCCAGTGCTCCCTAGAGATTGCTACAACTGCCCCCAGGAGGACCCTAAGATTATCTCCACTACACAATCAGGTAGGAAGAAAAGCGTTTGTACACCCTCAGATGGAGAGCAGTCGTGTGGGGGGAAAAGTAGGGGCTCAGAGGCCAACGAGAGCCCCAGGAACCGTCAGGATGAGAGCAAGCTCGAGCAGCTGGTTTCCTGGTGCCGGGGGGCTGGTGGGGCGGCACGGCCGCTCAGGCGAGAGAGCCATGCCAGCGCTTCTCTCCTGACGTCCCGAAGGCTCTGGGTTTGCCAGGGAATGTCTGCCCAGCCTGGCACTGGGAAGGCCACTGTACCTGCCCCAGGCACAACTCGCCAGAGGGCCTGCTGCACAGGGTGGTCACTGCAGTTGGATAAAAATGCCTGACCTCTGCCTCTAGGCCTGGTGCTCGGAACCAAAGGTCACTGAGCAAACAAAAGGCAGCCCACAGATGCCAGGGGCCTCTCATGGTCTCCTTTCCCATGTGCTTGTCCCTGAGCCCCTCAGAGTGGCTAAGGCACATGGTGACACGACCCTAGCTTCATAGGAGAGGAAATGAGTTCAGAGAGACAGAGAGGCCTGTGGGAGGGGCCGAAACCCACTGCCTGCTTTTCTTCTGTACCTTGGATCAGCCCCTGCATCACCCTTCAGGGCCCCTGACACCCTCAGGAAGCAGAGGTGAGGGACCACCTCCAGGGCTGGGAGGTGGTGGTTGATCCATGGTGGAGCCAAGACTCAAACTCAACTGCAGCTCTTTCGAGGATGTCAGAACCTCCTCGAATGCTGAGCCACACCCCTATCCCAGGTACTTACACCAGCCAGTGCACGTACTCGGCGTCTGGTTCCAGCAGGTGTCCATCTACACACAAACACACCCCACTGACTGCGGGCTCTGCTGCCCCCTCCCTCCTCCTCCCTTGGAAGGAGCTGGGGCTGGAGCTTTCCACCTGGCCCCTTCCCCAGCTCCTCAGGGCCTCCCCAGGGAGGTGAGGGAGGCAGGCGTTCCTGTGAGCCCCCAGGCCCTTACCCAAGCTGGTGAGCAGCAGCGTCCACACAGAGCCCTCATCTGCCTCATAGGTCACCTCCGGGGGCTGGGCAGCCTGGTGGGGCAAGAATGAGGGCGCTGTCACCCCATGAGGGACGGACAAGCCGTTTTAAACAGACCTTTACTCTGGAGGGCAGGAGCCTGAGGGAGCCTTGGAGAAAGAAGAGCCCATTCTGGACCAAGTGCCCTGGACAGTCCCTTGAGAGGCAAGTGAGCAGACTTATCCAAAGAGCCCTCCAGAGCTGCCTATCCAGAGATCTGAACCACAAGAAGGCCAATGGCCGGGAGGGCACTCTGACGGAGCTTCTTTTATTTTACATTCCTTTCTTTGTGATTACTTTATCATGGTGTTGTTTATTGGGAAATCAAAACGAGACAGAGAACAAGAAAACCCCAGGCGAGCTTACACAGACGCTGTGCTTGTGCCCTTGACCACCATGAAAACCGCCTCTGTAAACGCTTTCAAAAAGGAGCTGTCTCTGGCCTCATGGTAGGATATGTCTGCGCACACAGGGCAGGAAGGGGCACAGGCCAGCAGTTACCTCAGCTGGAGTGACTTCATTGCCATAGTAAACAGGTACCAAGTCGTCCTCGCCTATGGCATAGGCCACATGCAGGGGGACTCGGGGCACGAAGGTGGCCCCATGGAAGAGGTCCCGATAGAGGCCATAGTATTCGGCCAGACGCTGCTTGTGGTAGGGGCCACAGGTTCTCTCCCACTCGGCCCGCACGGCCTCCAAGGGGATGCTTGCTGGAAAGGAATGATGCTGGTTGGGATGCAGGGTGGGGGCAGGGACACACCCAGGACCCCCTCCCTCTGGAAGGCTTACCTGTGCGGAGGCGAGCAGCCCGTTCCTCCTCCACACAGGCCCGAAGCTCCCGCAGGACCTGTTTCCGTTCCAGCAACTGTTTGGTCCGGCAGACCTTAGGTGGAGGCAACCCAATGTCAACCTTGTCTCTGGGATCTGCGGAGGGAAGATGTGTTGGACAAAGTGGAATCAGGGCTTAGCTAAGCTCCCTGTCCATACTTTTCCTTTCACTAGGCAAACTCTGCTACTAAAGCCTGGCCTTTAATTCACAAAACTAAAACACACTGTGTTGTCAGCTTCACAGATCTGGACTCGTTCCAGTCACTAAGTAAACTGGATACACCGTGAGATTCTATTTTCTGATCCCTAAACAAGGTTACATCTGTCTGCATGCATGTGTGCTAGGTCGCTTCGTAGTGTCTGACTGTGCGACCCCATGGACTGTAGCCCGCCAGGCTCCTCTGTCCGTGGGATTCTCCAGGCAAGAATATTGGAGTGGGTTGCCATGTCCTCCTTCAGAGCATTCTTTGTCTAGGTCATGGGAAACCCAGGCGGATGGTGACCTAATTATAGCTGGGATCACCTTCAAGCCTGTTAACAGCTGCCCGTGCAGGGTCCCAGAGTCACCATCCCGGGGGCTTTCAATTTAACTCAGCAAAGTATTGGTCATCTGTGGCAGGTGTAGAGATCTAGTGGTGGTCAAGGCAGACAGGATCCCCGTCCTTAGAGAACTCATAGTCTGGGAGGGAAGCAGCGAAGAGTCAGGATGCACTGTGCCCAAGGTGACATCAACACTGTCACAGGAGCACAGAGGGGCGTTCCAACCCAGAATTGGGACGGGGGCGGTTGGGCAGGAAAGGACTTTCGGTGTAGAATGATCAAAGGTGGAAAGCTAATAATGAAAAGAGAATTTTCCAAGGAGGGGGGCCAAAAGGTATGAAAAAATGCTGGCCGGGAGCACGCCGGCGGAATCCACTCCCCCTAGCCTCCGAGTCCCAAGGCGGTGGGGTCACAGCCCAGCTCCGGACACCCCCACCTGACTCCTCCCCGAAATGCTCCCGGTACGTCCGCCACCAGTGCGCGTCCCGCGCCTCCCGCTCCGCCCGGCGCCGGTAGCGGTCGAAGCTGCGGTATTTCTTCAGCCGTTCCAGGTTGCTCACGTCGATGTCCTCGTTGGGCATCGGCCCCAGAGGAGCGGCCCGGCGGCTCAGGGCGGCTGCGGGAGGAAAGCAGGACATCAGGCTGGCCCCGGCCCCCGCGGAGGCCCGGAGCGGGAGCCGGCTCGAGCCCCAGGGTTCGGCTGGACGGGGACCTCCAAGAGCCCCTAGCCCGCAACAGCCCTCACCTGAGGTGCTGAAGCCCCGCCAACTCCGGCTGCCGTTCAGCACAGCCCGCCACCAGGGGGCCGCCATCTTCCCTCAGGCTGGCGTGCCGCCTCTCCGAGGACCCCGCAGAGGTGGCCGGAGCGGCGCCTGAGCGCATGGCGCAGGCCCCGCCCCCGCGCCCTCAGAGCCCCGCCCCCATCCTGGGCCCGAAGTCCTCCTCTTCCGGGCTGGAGGTGGCTGCGGGTACCCGGCTCCCCTGATTCGGACGTACCCGGTGGGTGGCGGGGCGGAGCTGCGAGCTGTCCCGCCCCATGCCTGCCGCCGGCCACCAGGGGGCGACACAGACTGGGGGCGGTCGGCCGGGCGTGTAGCCGCCTCCACTGGAGAAGGTCCGCCCGTTGCGGGGATCTGGGTTGGGCTTCCCTGGCGGCTCAGCTGGTAAAGAATCCTCCTGCAGCGCGGGAGACCTGGGTTCAGTCCCTGGGTGGGGAAGATCCCCTGGAGAAGGGAAAGGCCACCCACTCCAGTGTTCTGGCCTGGAGAACTCCATGGACTGTATAGTCCATGGGGTCGCGAAGGGTCTCCCAAGCCCTGAAGGCAGCGTCCTCAGCCCCTGCCGTGGTGTAGCAGCACGGGCAGCGGTAGGGGTTATGAACAGGGCCTCGGGTTCCCCTGCCAGGGTTCATATTCTGGGATGTGACTTTCCCTTCGCCTTTGCAGTTTACCTCACTCGGAAAGTAGTAATAGTGCTTTATCTCATAAAGGCTGTTAAGTGTTAAATGAATTAACATATATAAAGCATTTGCTGTGGTATGAAAGTGTTAGTCGCTCAGTCCTGCCCTACACTTGGTGATCCTACAGGACTGTAGCCCACCAGGGCCCTCTGTTCATGGGATTTCCCAGGAAAGAATACCAGAGTGGGCTGCCATTTCCTTTCAGGGGATCTTGCCCGCCCAGGGGTGAAACCTGGGTCTCCTGTGTTTCAGGTGAATTCTTTCCTGCCTGAGCCGCCAGGGAAGACCAAACTGTGGCATGTGTGCTCGAGCTGGTTCGGCGTGTCTGACTCCTTCCCACCTCGTAGCCTGTAGCCCTACAGGCTCCGTGTGATTTTCCAGGCGAGAATAATGGAATAGGTTGTCATTCCCTCCTCCAAAACTGTGCTATATGTGTTAGCTTTTGATTACCTCCAGTTTTTTTGCCTCTGCCTGATGAGATGGTTGGATGACATCACCGACTCGGTGGACATGAGTTTGAGCAAGCTCTGAGAGTTGGTAATGGAATGGGAAGCCTGACATGCTGCAGGCCATGGGTTGCAGAGTCAGACACAACTGAGGAACTGAACTGAAACCTTTTCAGGGTTGTGTTGTTCTTGGGATCCGGTTCTAACAAGATAAAACTTGGCACCCCAGTGACCTGGAGTGGTTTCTTCTGCTCTAGCTCCTCTGTCCTGGAATTCAGGCTTCCATGACACCAACCCTTTGGTAACCTAGCAAAGGGCTGGTGTGCATATGATGCAGACCCAGACTCTGACAGTGGGTTTGGTTTGTGGCAAAGTAAAGACTTATTGCCGGACACCAGTAAGGAGGGGAGTGGGAGACAAGCCTCAGATCTACCCCAACTTGGTCTTTGAGTTCGGAGAGTTTTTTTTTTTTTTTTTAAGGCTAGAACAAAGAAGCTGGGGTTAATTATCATTTTGTGACTTTTTCCCCATCCCACCCCCCATGACATTTCTTAATTGAAGTTTTGGGTATCTGGATGTTTCTGGTTTATGACTCTCTAGCCAGGTGGTCCATGGCTTGAGGGGGTTTGTTACCTCATCTTGTCCTGGAGAAACAGTCAAAGTTTGCACATTAACAGTGATATCTATAGTAGCAATTTTAGTATACTAACGATGTTATCAACACTAGCAGTTTTAGTCATCTGACTCTGTTTGATTAGTGTCCAGTTAGCACAGGATTGAGGTCAGAAGGTAAAGGAAAGGGAATAAAGTTTTGGACTGAGAGATTAATTATAAACTTGGAAAGGGAACACGTTTTTACCGGGATTTGGTTTCACATTTTTCAATTACTCAGCGCTTTTCTCCCCCTGCATAGGACCTTTGCACGTGCTGATTCTTCTGCCTTGCTCTCCTTACCTTTCCCCCTGTTGCTAAGTTACCTCCTAGACCGTCAAGTGGTCCCTCCAGGAAGGCTTCCCTGATGTCCCAACCAGGGTTGGTGACCTGTTCAGTTGCTCTGGTAACTAACAGAAGCTTGACCCTCACATTCACACAGAAATGGTGTGAGGGGTCTCTTCATCCAGCAGGAAGTGGCCACACCTTGAATTTGGTTTTCATCCACAGCAGCCGAAGAGCTGAACTCACCATCAATGCCAGTGCACCCATCAGCACACAGCTGCTGGATGTTAAGCCCGGTAAGACCCAGTTCTGCCCTGAAGGAGCCACTGCTTATTAATTTACAGAGCCACAGGCTCCGTAAACACAGCAGGCCGGGCCTCAGGCCAGGAGCACAGGGGTTCCTGCCTTCTTAACGTCCTTCGTGTTTACACCTGGCTCCTTTGCTATTTTGTCTTTTACCTTTGCTCTGAATCCTCTTCTACTGGCCTCCAACCCCTACTCCCACCCCCAGCCTGCCCCTCTAGAATTGAAGACTCACTGGATCTCCAGGGGCAGAGGCATATAGCTTGCTGGTCAATCAGGTGGCTCCTATTTCTCCATTATGCCTTACTTTCTTTTAAAAAATGATTTATTTCTGCATTTTTTTTTTTTTTTGGTCACACCTCATAGCATGAGGGATCATAGTTCCCCGACCAGGGGTCAAACTCATGTCACCTGCAGTGGAAGCTGGGAGTCTTAACCACTGGACCAACAGGGTAGTCCCAGTTATTCCTTACTTTTGAAAAACATTCCGTTCTCTCACTGTCCTAGAACCTTCTAAGAGGGGGGCTCACTGGGATTTAATTCAAAAGCCCAAGCATGGATTCCCAATTGTGTCAACTTGAAGCAAATAATAAACATGAATAACTCTTGAAACTGGAAGTATTAGCCCCACCGGTGTCTTTTATCATTGTTACTTTCTACCAATATTTCTCTCTCTACAGGGAACATCTAGGTTATGACCTTGTGGAGTTGTTTATCATTTTGAAGGGAAAAAGATCAGCAGATATGTACATAACCCTCCTGTGAGCAGCCTTCTGCCGCCTGTGGCCTAGGAGAACGTTAATGGAAAGGGGATGAGTGAGCCACCTGCCGCACCTTAATGCAGGGGACGGTGATTCAGAGCAGTCCCAGGCTCTGGGTAAAGAGTTGCCATGACTCAGTGCCCGTGGAGCATCTCCATGTGGCTGTTTCATGGGCACCTAGTTGTCCAGGCCAGGAACCTGGGGGTCTTCCTTGACATATTCTCCTTCCTGACCCTCCGTGTCAGACACCAGGTCCCAGTGCCGTGTCCGGTGCAGTGCTTCCCTGTCCCCACTCTTGCCTGCTCTGGTCAGTCTGGGCTCCACCCACAGCCACAGTTTTCTAAAACGCAAATATGGTCGGATTTCCCTGGTGGTCCAGTGGGTGGGAATCCGCCTGCCAGCGCAGGGGACACGGGTTCGATCTCTGATCTGGGAGGATGCCACATGCCATGGGGCAACTAAGCCTATGTACCACATCCACTAAGCCTGCGCCCTAGAGCCCCGGCTCGGCAACAAGAGAAGCCACCGCAGTGAGAAGCCCACGAACCACAACGAGAGGAAAACCTGCACGCAGCGATGAAGACCCAAAGGCACAGTCCAAAAATTAATTTTAAAAACCCACAAAAATGGTTCCACCCTGTTTTAAATCCTTCTATGAATAACCATTGCCCTGGACATAAAAGCTCAAACTTTAACAAGTTATTCAGAGCCTCATCGACCTGCCCCCTAATTCTAAGCTTATTCACTGTGGGCTTCTGCACAGCCTCCAGCGTGTCATCACCTGTGATCGCCTCCTGTGATCACCCATGTATCTGTCAAGTGCTTGCTTAAATGCCAACTTCTCCTAGGCCACGCCCCCAGCCCATCACACAGATGGGAACTCATTAAAAGTGTTAAGAGGACTGAATTCCAAGCTTCAACAAGGCTTTTAATGGCACATGGATGTTTCCCTCCTCAGTGTGGGCACTACCCCCAGCAGCATCCTGGGGATCTTCTACTTCACAGAAGCTCTGGGTACAGCACACTTTTCTAGGAGGCAGCTGTGATGTGGCTGAGCGCCCTGGGCTTTGGAACCTGCCCAAGCACAGGTCAAACCCAGGTCTGGCTGTTTGCTGCCGCCTTGGGCAGGTTATTTAACCTCCCGGTCTCAGTCCCTTCATCTGTGAAGTAGGGGTGATAATCACACCTCCTCCGGCCTGTGGTCCAGCCAGGAGAGCGGGGGCAGCTGGAGGGTCCCAGCCACGGTCAGTTTTAGAGCAAATAACAGCCCTACAGAACAAACATTTCTGATAAATAAGTTCCAACTGTGATGAGCTGTGGCAAATTCTGCGAACCCAGTCATGAAGGATATAGCAGTTCAGTGGGTCCAGGAAGAACGTTGTAAACACATGAGATCCTACTGGAGGCTGTTCTCAAAGAGCAGAGACACCCGTGGGCCCACTTACGCCCCCCTCGGCACTGCCCTCCTCCACCTTCCTGCTCCTCGGATGGTCCTCTCTGATGGGAGGTGAGAGAAGCTGCTCTCGAGGTAACTGCTGATTTTTCTTTTTCCCCCAACAGGGATCAGACCTGCGCATCTTGCAGTGGAAGTGCGGAGTCTTAACCACTGGACTGTCAGGGAAGTTGTGGTAACTGTGATTTTATTAGTTGAGTCCTTGGGCAGTAGACAATTACCAACCCTCTCACCCCTCTCCTGGTGCCCCTCTGGAGGGCCTTGGCCCTCTGCCCGTACGTGGAGAAGGGCAAAGCCCCCCACCTCAGGCAGCAGCCAGGCGCTCTGTACCCTCCCAGGCAGGGGCTTGCTCTGTCATCTTCGTTCCCACCCGCTGGGCTTCTGCAGCCAGGGAACAGCACGGAGGAAAGCCTGCCGTCCTTCCCCGCGTCCTGTCACCCTCTGGGGAGTGTATTAGGAGAAGCCGATGAGCCCAGGGTCTGTGCCAGTGAGTCAGTTGCCCTGGCAGCTGGGAACGGGGCACAGGTTTTGTGTGCCAGCCTGAGAGCAGGACGGGCTGGCTGAGCCCCAAGAGCACGTCAGAGCTCGAGATAAAAGCACCGGGCACGGCACCCTCCTTGCCCCTGCAGCAACCCCACCTCGTCAGGCAGGAGGCCGGAAGACCCTGTAACGTGTGGCCCGGCTCTACGTCCCTACCCGCGAGGAGACCCCATGCTCTCTGTCAGCCATTCCTTGTGGCAAGGGAGTAGAGAAGCCCCCTGCCTCAGGAGAGAATCAGGTGAAAAGATTCTAAAACCATCCACAGCCGAGGGGGCCCACAGAATCCAGCCAGACCCTAGGTCCTGGGCTGAAAGTCTGTGCGGAGCAGATCCACAGCTGCCACTGACTGTGTCGTGGGGCTGCATGCCCTCAGCGTGGCGTCTCCCCAGAGGCCGCTACCTCCCAGGGTGTCTGAGAGGCCTGGGTGCACCCACCTGCCTCAGCTATGGGCTGGAGGGCTCGCAAAGAACCCGCTGGCACCCTGTCCACAGGAAGAGCTGTAATTAGACCCTGGGCATCGAGGGGCTCTCCCGGGCACCCCTGCTTCCAGCTGGCAGCCAGAGGGTCAGTTGCAGGGTCTGAGGAGGCAGCTGGGCCTTCAGGCCGAGTGGGATGCCATGTTGTAGGAGGCTTTCTTCAGGGTCTCCAGGAAGAACTGTTCGTTCTCCAGAAAGTCACGGTCCTGAAAGGCAGAGCTGGGTGAGCAGTCACCCTCTGGCTCTCTCTCCTGCACACACTTCTGTGGACAGGGATGCGGATTGCTGGACCGGGCATGAGGCGACCCTGGGGGTCAGTGGATCGATCAGTCATGTCCTGGCTCTGCCTGGCTCTGGGATCGGCTGGGGTGGGGCAGGGAACGCACCAGCTCTCCCTCCAGGGGAGGCCACGTGTCAGCACAAGACATGATCCCTCTCGGCCTGTCTGCAAACTGGAGAAGATGACAGTGCCTGCAGGGAGGGCTGCGGGAGGGGGATCGCTTACAAGGCACAGCGCAGAGCCTGGCGGGCAGGAAATGCTCCCTCAGTGACACCGGGAGCATCTGCAAGGCCTGTCCTTTACCTGCCATGCTGCTCTCCGCCGGGAGGGGCGTGGGCTCGGCCCTCCCTGCGGCCAGGCTGTGCTCTGCCTGAGCTTCTGGTCCCCACTGTGAACACGAGGAGCCCTGAGTCCAGGGGCAGTGGGTGGGCCTGGGTGGCCTCTGCTCCGGGACGCTTACCTGCTCAGCTGTGTGTCTCAGCAGCACCAGCTTGGCATAGAGATGTGAGGGGCCCAGGCCGACCAGTGGTTGGCTGCACTGCGGAACGGTGCGGGCAGGTGCCACCGTGGCTGAAAGGCAGAGGAGGACGGGGTTGGGGGCAGGGTGGCGGGAGACCAGGCCAGCCACAGCTGGATCCTGGGGCCTTCTCACTGCCTGGGGTGGGCGCGGCCCGACCACCCTTCCGGGCACATCCAGCTTTCAAAAGCCTTGGAAAATGCTCATAGAATTTCAGCTGCTAAGTTCAATTCTGAAAATTTATTCGAGGAAAATAATCGGGGAGAGATGTATGTATCATACAAAGATTTCCACTGAAGTGCTACTAGTTACCTTATCAACAACAACAACAAAAAACACTCAGGAAATTAGTAAAAATATAGGACAACTCATAATGGCAAATGATGTGGATTAAGAGTTAAATGTTTAATTACCGACATGAAAATATGTTCCATGAATATTTCTGAATTGAAAGCAATAAAGGTACAAAACAATATATGATGCAATCTCATGTTTGTTTGTTTTTTTTAATGGAGGAGAAAGAGTGGCTTTATTTCTTTGCCAGGCAAAGGGGGTGTGGGCTAGCACCTCAAGAACTCAATTTTGTTTTTAAAAACATACACACGACAGTGTAGAATATTATGCACCAAAATGTTTATAAAGTGGTTCTAGAGAGTGGGTTGAAGGTAGTTTTTTTTTTTTTAATATAAGCATGGTCCGTTTTAAAACTTATTTGGCTGTGCTGAGTCTTATTTGCAGAATACGGGATCTAGCTCCCTGACCAGGGTTTCAACCTGGGCCCCCTGCATTGGGAGCTTGGAGTCTTGGACACTGGGCTGCCAGGGAAGTCCTGAGGGAAGTATTTTAAAAACTAGTTTCCCTTCTTCTATTTTTGACCTATTTTTCTATAACATGCATTACTAGCATAAAAAAAAGAAATAACAAGATGACTTTAAAACTAAGCTATGGACTTCCCTGATAGTCCAGTGGTCAAGAATCTGCCTTAAAATTCAGGGGACCCGGGTTCCATCCCTGGTCCGGGAAGATCCCCCATGCCACGAGTCAACTAAGCCTGTGTGCCATCACAAAGACCCAGCAGAGCCAAAAAAAAAAAAATAATAATGAAATAAAAATAATTAACTTAGGTTTTAAAAAAACAAACTCAGCTGCCTCCTATCTTGAGCACACAGGAGGCTGGGCAGGGTGTTGCCGGCATGCTCTGCCCAGTGGGTGGGCTGAGCCGATGTCCCCTCCTCCCGGAGTTACTTACCACTCAGGCCAGAGGCTGCGAGGTCCTGGGCCCTGGAGAGCAGCCCCACTGGGCTGGCGGGCAGGTCCTGTCGGGCACGATCCAGCTGCAGCCTCTGCTGGGCTAGACTCAGATGCTCCTGTCCCGGCCCCCAGAGAGGAAGACACCGCAGTGAGGGCAGAAGGCCGGGGGAGGGGTGCCGGGGGAGGGGTGCCGGGGGCAGAGCCTCTGGGAGGTGCCTTGCCTGGTGCACGTGGCGCTCCTGCTGCCGCAGCCGCTCCTGCTGCTCCTGCACCAGCTGCAGCCGGGCCTGTTGCTCTGATTGCACCTGCTGGGCCTCGCGCAGGGCCCGCTCCCCCTCCTGGTACTTCTTAGAGGCCACCTTGGGGAGGCTACCTGGGTCAGCCAGGCTGGCGGAGGTCAGCGCTCCCCCACCCCCAGCTGCGCCTTGGCACCTGGCTCATGCTCTCCATCTCCTCGGCGCGCAGCCTCATGCGCTGGGCAGCAGCGCTGACCCGCTCCTTCTCCAGACGCAGTTCCTGCCGCTCCTGCTCCAGAGCCTCCCTCTCGGCCGCCAGCTGGTCCTCTTTGGCTCGGAGCTCGCTGGCCCTGATCTTCAGCTCTGCCTGCTCCTGGAGATGGCAAAGCCTGGCTGCATTCTCCTTCCTGGAGTTGAACTGGGCTCTGGGGACCCGCAGGTCGCCCTGCCTCATTGCTGGGGCTGAACTCCACCCAGACTCTGGGAGGAGGTGGTGGGAGACCTGGGGCTCCAGGTCTGAATCCGTTTCTTCATTTCTAGAATATCTAAGTCACGGGAATGTGATGAGGATTAAAAGAGCAAATGAGTATAAAGCACCAGGAAGCTAAAAGCAAGTTGTAACTATGATATGATTGTAGTTGTTTCAATTCCTATACTCTTGTTACCACTGCTTGCTTTCCCAAGCTGACCATCCTGTGGAGGAGCAGACCCTGAGGGCCAGGGTGGGGAGAGGGGCAGGGCTGTGGGGGGTTCCCACTGTTCGGGAGGCTCTGGGTCCTACCTTGGCCAGGCTGACGAGGGTGCCCTCCCGCTGGGCGTCCACCTGCAGCGCCCGCTCCGCCTCGCGCTCGGCCCGCTCCTTACTCAGCTTCTGCTGCGTGAAGAACTCAGCCCATTCGGCCGCCAGGCGCCGCCGCTCCTCCCCGCACTTGTGCATGACGGACTTCTGCTCCTCCAGCAAGGCGCTCTGCGGCGAGGTTGCCAGGGCCCTGGTGAGCGCCCCTGGGCCTGACGGCAGGGACGGAGCCCAGCGCGGTGCCTCTGGACTCACCTTGGCTCTCTCCAGCTCCTCCCGCTCCATGGCTATCTGCTGGACCATGACCTTCCTCTGCTCCTCCAGAGCACGCTGTGCCGACTCGGCCTTGGACTGCTCGGCGTGCACCCGCCATCGCTCCTGCAGGCCCGGCAGGGTCAGGGCTGAGCGCGCTGGCCCCTGGAGGCTCCACCTGCTCCCCAGACAGGCCTGAGTGCTCCCCGGGGAGCTGGGCAAACCACCCTCATCTGGCTTTTCCCACACTATGCCACAAACACCTCCTTTCCTGAGCAGTAAAAATGGGAAGGAGCCTGGAGACTGGTTTGAGGCAGGCACTGAGGAAAGTGCTGAAAGGGCTGAATAAACATGGTTCAGGATATAAAAACATCTATGTCCATATACTGACAGGTCTTTAGGGTATCTGTGATGTCATCAGTGGCTATCTTGGGCTACTGGATAATTTTTCTTTATTGTTGCCAGTTATTTTAATTTTTTCAATGAAACGAATCATCTTAGAACTTTGTACAAAAAAGAAAAGGTTATTACTATTTCTGAATTCATCAAATATTTACTGTATCAATTCTCTTAGGAATTGCTTTTTTGTTTGGTAGGGGTCAATGTGAGTTGTTTTTTTTCCCACAAGTGCAGCCAATTGTTTTCACCACTTATTAGATTATGAAAGAAACCCTTCACCAATTTGCCTGTCCTTACACTGGGCCGTGCTAATCATGTCTATGTCGTTCCAATTTTAGCACATGTGCTGCTGAAACAAGCACGAAAGGGCATGATTTTTTTTTTTTTGGTAGAAGATATAGACAAATTTATTTTTATTTAATCCTTCACATTGTATAATAAGGGCATGATTTTTTAAAGCACAAAGCCTGCTCTTATAGATGGAAGAGACAAAAGAAGTTTAAAGACAGCTCAGGAGACAAGCATTTCTCCCAAAGTCACATTGGCGATGGCATCAGTAATGAGTGGGTAGGTGCTGGACGGGTTGGGCTGGGGGCGCTTCTGGAGGTTGGGGAAGTGGGAGCCCCTGCAGAGGCAGGAAGGGGCAGGAGAGACAGGAAAAGCGCCGAGGAGGCCAGGGCAGAGTATAGCTGCCCAGTGCTGGGGAGACAGGCCCCACAGCAGGGGCAGGAGGACGGGCCCCACCTGCTCCAGCAGCCGGCTCTGCTCGCCCAGGCGTGCCTCCATCTTCCCCATGACCTCCTGGAGTCGGCTCCGCTCTTCCTCCATGTCCCGCTGCTGGCGGCTCAGCCTCTCCTGCAACGCTGGGGGCGGCCCACAGGGTGCTCACTGCCCGCCCGCCTGCCTTCCTGTCGGCGGGGACAGGACGGAGGAGCCCGGCGTCCCAGTACCTTGGAGCTGCTTGTCCTGCTGCCGGATCCCCAGCTCCCGCTCCTGGGAGGTACTGAGGTGTGAGGCCTCCACGCGGGAGGACAGCTCGTGCAGGCTGCTGGAGAACTTCTCCATCTGCTCGACGATGCTGTTCAGGGACCTGGGGGTGCGGCGTGCAGGGCTCGGGTCATGAAATCTGGGGCCCCCCCGCCCTGCCCACCCGGGGAGCAGAGCCTGATGGCGAGCCTACCGCGTGTGGGAGGTGGCGCTGGTCACGGCGTCGATCTCCCGGTCCTTCAGCTGCTTCAGCCGCTGCAGGTGCTCCTCGTGGTCCTTGCGCATCTCCAGGATGGAGGCCCTGGGGGGCGGGGGCGGGGCCGGTGAGAGGGCGGCACAGTGAACATCCTGGGCAGCTCCGTCTGGGAGGGGGCTGCTCTGGGCAGTCCGTGCTCCGTGGCCTCTCCTCCCCGGCCCCAGGCACTGCCTCCGTTTCCCTGGCCCCTCTGCCTTTTTATCTGTCTTGGTGCCTCAATGCCACATCCTCTCTCTGGGGGCAGATTCCTTGTTATTCAGCCAAGGACACCTGACAGGGGGCCCAACAACCCTTTCATGTCTGGCCAATCTGAGCCATGGGGAAAGGCCAACTCAGCCCACCTTGGTTGACCCCTTCATGTGCCTTTTCTTTAGTTTCACTCTCCTCTGGAAAGGCAATCAGATCCACATGCCAGGCACAACCTTCTCCAGGGCTGATGTAGTCACTAGCCTCGAGTGGTCTGGCTGACGGGTTGGTTAACCTGTGGTTAATTAGCGCTTGGGTTGCTTGCTGCTGCCGGGCCCTGCCTGAATAGCCAGTGACCTCAGGCCCTGCCAGGATGCCCTCGATACTCTGAAGGAGTTGGGGGATCCCCACTAGAGGTGGAAGGGTACGTGAGATGGGTCAGTGAGGTTAGCCTCAGTTCTCAGTCTTCATCTGGAAGGGAAGGGGTCAAGCCTTTGTACAGAGGCTGCTGAGCCCACGGCTTGGGGTCTCAGGGCAATTGGCTTCCTCTGGCCCCGGCCCCCCTCTCACCGCTGCAGCTCCCGGAGCCGCTCCATCTCCTGGTCTTTCTCCTGCATGGCGGCCGCCAAGCGCCGCTGGTGCTGGGCCGCGAGCTCAGTGCGGGCCTGCTCCGCCTCCTGGCAGCGCGACAGATACTGGGCAGACAGCTCCTCGTTCTCTCTCCGCAGCCGCTCTTCCCGTTGCTGATACGATGTTTCTAGCACCTTGACTCGGCTCCTGCCAACAGCACACCCAATCGTGCGGCTCAGAGGGGAGGGTGGCCACCCGGAGGGCCCCTCGGGGCACTCGGGCTGGGGCTGGCTGGGGGAGCAGGGTACCTGTGAGCATGCTCGATGAGCTCCAGGTCGGCCTGGTGCCGCTGCTGTAAACTCTCCAGCAGCAGCTTGTGCTGGGTCCGCTCCAGCTCCAGCTTCCGCACCTGGGCAGTGGCGTGGAGGGAGGGGGATGGTGTGGAGAGTCTCTCAGGCTGCCTGGGGAGGCCGTCCAGCCCTCACGGCACACCCTCCCACCAGCCCTGCCTGGAAGCCGCTGCCCCCCTGCCCCTCACCTGGGCCTCGAGCTCCGCCAGCCGGGCCTGACTCTGCAGGAGGGTGGCCTGGAGCTCGGCAGTGCCGCTCTGAAGCTGAGCCTGTGCCACCAGGAGCTGGTGCTGGTACTCGGGGCCGGGCAACAGGCTCTGGGCCAGGGACTCCGGGAGCTTGGACTGGAGGAGAGGGGGAGGGACATGCCCCATTAGGTAGAGGACAGGAGCCCAGCTGAGCTCACCTCTGACCTGCCAGGCTCCATTCCTGGCCTGTGGCTGGAGACGGGGACAGGATCATGACACCCAGAGGTCAAGGATGAGGCCTGGAGGGTCATATGGTCCCTGTCCTTCCCCTCTCAGGTCAGGTTGGGGAAAATGAGTCTCCCCCACGCCCTCAGAACAACATCCTCCCAGCAGGGCCTCCAGAGTCCCTGCAGAGTCCCAGCTACAACAGAAAGTGGTGACCCCGGCCCTGTTGTCAGGCCTGAAGTCCCAATGCAGAGCGATGCTCTGGGTACTGCATGCTGCCCACCACCCACCCACCATCTCAGAGGCGCTCCGGGTTCCCGGGTAAGCATTCCACAGGTGCTCCTGTGGGGCCCGGCCTCCTCGGGCCTGGGGGTCCCAGGTGCTATTGCACCTGGGCAACGTGGGCGGTGGGAGGAGCAGGGGAGGAGGTGCTCTAGACAGAGCAGAGGCCAGCTGGGTCCTGCGCTCTGTGGGAAGCACTCTCAGCTGCCTCCACCTGGGGGCCATATCAGTTCTCCACTGGTGCCGGCAAGTGAACACCCAGCCCTACCCGGGAAAGAGAGGCGAGTGCTGGTGGGGAGACAGGGGAGCTGGCTGAGAGGACAACGCATTCCTCCTGGAGGTTTGGCAGGTGCTGCCTCTGAGCACAGGAGAACTGCCCCACGGGCCCGCCTGTTTGTTCCCCCTCCCTACCTGAACAGGCACAGAAGGCCCTGAGGGTTCCTGGGAATTCGGGAAAACAACTGTAGGCTCTGAAAAATCAACAGCACAGAAATGAGGAGGCGCAGGGAGGCCCACAGTCTAGGTGTGTGTTCGGGAGAGCCTGGCTTCACATCTGTCTGCAGGGACCCCCGAAGGAAGCTCTCAATGCCTCTCCTCCACCCAGAGTTAACCTCCCAAACAAAGCAGAACACACACCGGTGCCAGAGTGGTCTCCAAGGGCTCTTCCCCTCTCAGGGTCACCTGCATGGAGGGCCAAGGCGGCCTTGTTCCAAGTCATGGGGGACCTGTGGACATGGGGTGGGGTGGCAAGATGAGCAGCCTGCTATGAAGGATGCAGGGAGAAGGGGAGGGTTGGTCTGGCAGGAAAGGCGAAGGCCAGGGTCAAGTCATAGACTGGAAAGGCCTGAAGGCTGGTAGTTTACTAAGAGTGGGGTCCCAGCTGGAAAAGGGGACGGGGATCTGGCTTCAGGTTCCCTGACTTAGCGGGTCTCCTGTGTGGTCTCGGATCCCATACCCCACACCGACCACGTGGAGCCCAGCTGAGCCGCCTGCTGTTCTAGGGACCCGGGCTCGGGCCGGCCCCCTGCGCCTCACCCGCCTGCAGCCACGCCTCGGACTGGACATACCCAGAGGCGGCAGGCGGGGGCCATGGCCCTCGTGTTGCTGTTCCTGGGGTCTCCCGGGCGGCGGCTGGCTCGAGCTCTTGGGTGCTGGCAGCAGGCTGACTGAAAAAGCAATTGTTAATATGAAGGCAGGAGAAGGTCCGGGTTAGGCTGGACAAGGGCGGGCTGGGACAAAGCCCAGAAGGGAAGCTGCATGGCCGCCCCTCTTCCCAGCCCCCTCCACCTTCCTCCTGTTCCCACCATCCCATCTTGAGAATTCTCCTCCCAGTCTGAGCCCCTGGCCTTCTGCTGCCCTCCCGGGGGCAGCCACCTGGTAACATCTAAGGAAGCTGTGGACCATGCCACGCCCGCAGCGTCCACTGAGGCCCTGCTCACTCGCCCACCGGCTCCAGCGCCCCGTGGTCCCTCTCATCTCCGTCCGCTCTTCCCTGTCGCTCTCGGCTCTCGGGGCCAGTGAGGAAGCTTTCCCTTCCCTTCAGTTTCAGGTCTGGGTCCAAACCACCCTCCCTGCTTACTCAACCCCAGGGCAGGGTGACATCCCCAGCCTGTCGCACAACTGCCCACCTCGCCTCCCCTCTGCTCTGGCTGCAGGGCTTCCTCTCGATGGTCCTGGCCCTGCCAGCCCCCTCTGGGGCGCTCCCTGTCCTTCCCACACATTCCACAGCCTCCCCCAGGAGCCCCCTGGCAGCCACTGTCTTCTCGAACACTCCCCAAGAGCAAGAGTGATCCCCCACACGTGTCGCCTGCTTTAGCTTGGTCAGCAGAGCCACTGGACTCCAGGTGTCCTGCCAGCCCGAGGGCGCTGGGGACAGCCCTGCTGGGAAGCACCAGGAAGGCTGTGGGAGCCCCACGAGGGCACCCGGGGTCTCCTGCCCAAGCAGGCCAGCGCCTGGCCCCGTGGCAGCAGGGCATGAGCGGCAGCAGCCCCCCAGCTCCTGAAGTGGGGGAGCCAGACGCTCTCCCCGCGCCCATAGCGGGAGAGAAGCACGGCCGAGACTGCACTCTGCCCGCAGTCAGCACACGGGGCGCTGCTGACGGAGGCGCCGAGGCAGCAAGCCCTCCCTCTGGAGAGACAGCGGCCTAAGCTCTACCTGTGGGAAGGCGGCCGGCCGGCTGCCCCCGCCGAGTGCTGGCCCTCAGAGCCTGCGGCGCGCTCCTCTCTGGCCAAGCCTTGGGCCTTCTTCCGGGACAGGGCGTGGCTCAGCCAGTCCTGGCCTGCCGCCTCCTCGGATGCTCCTGGCTCCGCAGGCTGGCTGCCTCTGGCAGGAGGGCCAGGACCCTCAGTGGGTGTTTTTGTCCCTGAGGAGGAGGGCGGCCCGGACGGGGCAGAGTGGCAGACGGGGGCGGAATGCTGGCTCCCAGGACGGGGGCGCCTCTGGGCCTTCCTGCCTGGGGAGGGGGGGAGCAGGTCCCAGCTGTCGTCCTTGAGGCCCAGCCAGTCAGCGCCTCCCCTCCTGGGCTGGGTGGGGCTGGAGGCTGTGGGGGTGCTCTGCCTGGAGCCCGCTTCTCCCTTGGGGTCTGTGCCACCATCTAAGAACCTACTTCAAGACAGAGAAGAGGGGAGTCTAAGGCAGGGCAAGCAGCCTGTCCCACGAGCCCCTGACGGGCCTTTCCCTCCACTGCTCCGGGGGACTAGGGGGCCCACACTAAGGGGTCAGGATGCCTGGGGCCCTGTGCAGCCAGAGTCGTGGCAAGCCAAGTGAGGTCTGCAGAACGCCTTGATTCAGTCACGAAAACCAGGGACAAATCCATCTGCAGCGAACAGGACCAGCCACGGGCACACACACCCAGAGAAAAATCAGCCTGGTCAAGCACTTCCAGCCTTTCCATCACTCATTCATTCATTTGGCCATTGTCTCTTATGGCTCAGCTGGTAAAGAATCCACCTGCAATGCGGGAGACCTGGGTTCGATCCCTGGGTTGGGAAGATCCCCCGGAGAAGGAAAAGGCTACCCACTCCAGTATTCTTGCCTGGAGAATTCTGTGGACTGTATAGTCAATGGGGTCATAAAGAGTCGGATACAACTGAGCGACTTCTGCTTCACTCTATGAGTTATGGCAGGTGGCAGCAGGTTCCCAGGTTTAAGGGAACAGTTGATACACATGTGTGCAAGGTTACTGAGAAGGAAAGAGGCTGAGAAAGCCGATGTGACATAACGTTAACACCATGGAGTCTGGAGAAAGGGTAGGAGGCAGTTCTCACAACTCTTCCATCAGTTTGAAATTATTTCAAAATATAAAATTTAAAATATACGCTCGGAGAAAAAAAAATCTCCAAATTCAGAAAAGTCCATCCACTAGCTTAACATTTTGTCGCCAACTGGGACGAGACCACTGTTAGGATGGTCAAGGCAAAGCCCAGGGCCGGGTTTCTGGGGAGCTGAGTCTGAGAAGCTGCTGCTCAAGGTTTACTCTTGCTCCCCCTGGGTCTGGGTGTTCCTCACAGAGAAGGAGGTCAGCTGACGTCACAGCAGTTTCCGGTTTCCTGGGGCTTCCAGCTGAGTCAAGCCCACCTCTTTCTTACTCTTCCAAGGAGGCTGGGAGCAGAATCCAGGGTCCGCTCCTGCTCGGGGGCCATCCCGACCACTTGGCCTGGACTGGTGGGCACTGACCACTCCCCTCCTCTGGGGTCCACAGAGTCTAGTGCCTCCCAAACAAGCCTGGTGGTGGGATGTGGCGAGGGGGGCCCCCTCATTCCCAGTGGGCAGCCTGCCTCTGCGCTTACCTGACAGACTGCCGGCGGGACTGCCGGCCCTCGGAGGAGCCCACGGTGGGCTGGTAGGCCCCAAAGGTGAAGTCGTTGTCACCCCAGGTGTCTTCTTTGTCTGTGAATGAAGAAACCTGTGATCTAGAGCAGGGGAGTCAACCTCTTCTGTGAATGCTGCAGAATGCTGGGTTTGAAAAGGGCTGAGCTAGCAGCTTGATGGCTAAGATGAGTAATGGGGACGCAGAGGCAGAGGCAGCCAGGTGAGGGGCTGGGCATCTGTCTACACCTCTAGTTCCAGCACACAGAACGTCACCGGGAGCTGTGAAAAGTGCACCTGAGGAACCCGGCCCCAACCCCCGCGGGTGAGTGCACATGTTCCAACAAGGACTCCGAGCCAATGGGCCGCGGGCCGATGCTCTGAACAGAGCAACGCTGGCCAGGGCAGCGTCCTTCAAACTGTGAGCTGCTGCCTATCAGCAGGTTGAGAAACCAGTAAGTTACAACCGATATATTTAGTAGTCAAAGGGCTTAGTTGCTCAGTCGTGTCCAACTCTTTGAGACCCCATGGACTGTAGCCTGCCAGGCTCTTTTGCCCGTGGGATTTTCCAGGCAAGAATACTGGAGTGGGATGCCATTTCCTACTTCAATTTATTAATCAAAGAGCATATAAATAAAAAAAACAACAGAGAATTGAACATGGTGATGATTATTTCCTGACACTTTTGACCCAGTTCATTAACACGAATAATATAATGTGTGTGTGTCATGATGTAAAGCTTATTTCTTATTATGGCTCCTGGTAAACACCTGTTCTGGGGTCCCTCCGCCCCCACCCCACAAGCCTCCTCACCCTGTGGCTGCTGGTACTTCTTGTCCAGCTTGAATTCCCTGTGCTCGCCAGTGCCTGGCCGGGCCAGGAGCTTGGAGGCAGGGCCCCGGCCCAGCAGCTCATCCAGCTTGGAGCGAGCAGGGAGGGGCCCTTCCCTACAGGACGGAACATAGGGCAGTTACCTGTGACCACAAGGGGCTCCTGGGGGGGCCACACTGTACCTTCCCTTTCATTATCCCTGGTGGCACTCTCCACGCCCAGGGACCCTTACTGGTTGCCCGCCTGCCTCCCCTCTGCCTTGGGGCTGTCTCCAAACCCCAGGGTGGCCATGATGTCGTCCCCATCGTCAAAGAGCAGCTCTTCTTTCTTTCGGACCGGAGTGTCCCCAGGAGTTAGAGGGACAGAGGGCCCTGAGAAACAGAACACAGGGCACAGTGCCCTCAGCCTTCTGGTCCTCCATTGTGCGGTTTGAATGGGCCGAGGGGGCGTTTTTCCACCTTTGAGTGGAACAGCAGCGGCAGCAGGCAGGGCAGCGTCTGGTCCCACCCCGGCACCTGACTCCCCCAGCCCCACTCCCGGGTGCTCCCATCCCCTCTCCCCTCCCTCTTCCCAGAGACCGATGACCTCTTGGTCCAGGATCTGAGACCTCTGCTCCCTGCCTGGTGGGGTCTCTGGAGCTGCGTTGGAAAGGTCAGTGAGTCAACTGCAGTAGCCCCAGGAACGTAACAAGCCCACCCTACCGTGATCTCTGACCAGGGCTGGGTTCTTTTTGGAAGAGGTTTTCGTCTCCGTGGAGGGCAGTTTCTTGGGGATTCTTTCCTCATCATCAGAGAGAAGTCCTGCCAGGGGGTCTTCTGAATCTCACAGGCAGAAGGGGAAGCAAAGGGAAGACTGTATGTTGCATTCAGGAAAACCAGCACTGTACTGCACTGGGGGAGTTATTGACCGGAGAGCTGTAGCTGCTCTGACACCTATGCAAGGCGCTTGGCATCTGAGGGCCTGGGGTGGCGGGGCTCCGATACAGGGCAGAGTGGGCCAGGGAAGAGGGAGCAGGGAGAGCAGCCCCAGGGCCCGCATTCCACCGTGACTGCCCCAGGCTCTGCTGTCTGCACCAGCCTTCTAGGAACATCCCTGAGGCTGGAGAAGGGAAGTAAAATGTCCGGGAGTGTATGAAGGGCAAGGGACTTTCCCCCACGCTTTATAATCTTCAGTTTGATCCCTGGCTTCCAAGTCCATGCAAATAAGTGCCGAGATATCCTAGCCAGGGGGGCACAATTAGTCCCTCCCTCAATTTGTGAGGAACAAAATCAACAGCACCAGCTGTCTGCTCCGCATCTGACAGAGAGTGACTAGCCCTGGGGCAAACGAGTACTGCCAGTGATCAAAACTGGTGTCCTAGAGGCATGACTGCAGGACCTGCGGTACCTTCCAAGGAAAACTTCCTGTACTGATGCCCAAAGCTGGAGGGAGATGGAGGTAGGTCCTTGTTGGGAATGGCATCTCCTACAGGGAGCAAAGAGGAGCCAAGGTCACAGGACCGGGTTGCTTCTGGCCTACATGTCGCCACACCGTGACGGGGACCCCTGGGCTGCTGTGTACTTCCATCTGGCGGCTGAGGGTTTGTGGCCATGGACACAGCCATGGGAGAGGTCTCTACTGCCCTGGTTCTCAATCAGGCTTTTGGCCTGGAAATGAGGTCTGGAAGTGACCTTCGGCCCTCTATTCACAAGTTGCTCCAAACAGGTACAGGGGTTGGGGCGATGCAAAAGTTACCATAAAATTCTCCAATTTAACTCAAATGGATTCTCCAGGAGTCTGAGGAAGTTGGGGCAGGAGGGGTGGGAAGCTCAACCCATCTCCCTCCTCAACCATAAACACTCCAACACACAGGTACACAGTGAGCTCCTGGTCTCCCCGCTTCCAGGCAGAGAAAACCCACAGGGCACAAGGCCTTCTGTCTAAGCATCTCCCACACCCCCAGAGTGTCTCCTCATTCGAGGAGCTATGTCCTACTCGCCTTTCTCATTGGCAGTTAACACACCGGCGGTTTTAAGAGGACTAGGTGGCTCTTCTTTCCCAGAGCCCTTTGCAGGCCTTTTGTTAGAGGCTAGATTTGACTTCTTCAGACCTAAGAGGTCAGCATCCATTTCATCCAGGTCCTGGAAAAGAAGGAAGGAGGGAGGAACCCCTACATGCTCAGCCAGCGGGTGCTAAATAACACCCGACTCTAAGCAGCCTGGTAAGGATGCTGTCCCCAACTTCCATGTGGAACACATGGGGACTTGGGCGACCCCAACAAGGTCACAGGACAAGGACAGAGGCAGGGCCGGGACCCAAAGGCTTCACACAGTCGGTCTCAGATAAGCTGAAAGGTCTCTGGTTGGTAACTTCCACGAGCCCTCATAAGCAGCTGCCGCACTGAGGTGAAAATGGGGGGGAGCTTCAAATCTGCTTTCAGCAGCTTCTCACAAAAGCTTAACAAATGCCGAAGCTGTTTGCAGTAGAAACGAAACAGCAGGGTCCTGGGGTTTAAGGCTCCCCAAGGTTGAGAATTCCCTGGTGGTCCAGCGGTTGAGAATCTGCCTTCCACTGCAGGGAAGGGTATGGGTTTGATCCCTGGTCAGGGAACTAAGATCCCACATACTGTGAAGTGCAGCCAATGAATAAATAAATAAATAAATGAAAGAACAAGAGGGAGAATGAAGGCTTGGTGTCAAATAGCATCCCAGCCCATCTCCCCAAAGCTGTTTCCTTACCTTCATGGCCTGCAGCAGAGCCTGTGGGTCTGCATCAGAGACATCTGAAACCTACATGACAGGAGGGTCAGGAGAGACATGCTGGTCAAGGCCCCACAAACCTCAGGACCCTTATCGCCTGGCTTTTGTCAGGGGAGGAGCAGAGCAGCGCGAGGGGAGGAGCATCATTTGGATGGTTCTGTCCTTAGTGCTCAGGCGTTATATGAAGTCAAACCTGGCCAGCTGTGGACACGCTGGGGAAAGCGCTGCCACTTTCGGGTCCTCCCAAAAGGAAGTCCACGGCCATCACAAAACAAATTAGGCTACTTTCCCTCCACGTGATCGGACAGCGTGGAGTTTACTACGGGAAGTGCCATTATAAGGGCAACCGCCGAGCCTCCAGCAGCTGCTAGGAGCTCTCCTTTCTAGATCATCTCACCGGGAGGAATGAAAAGGACTTGCTTTGAGTCCACCTGGCAGCCCTTGGGTACTGTTTTGAGAACAAACTGGCTTTGTGGGGACTTCTAAACCTTCTGTGGGCAGCCCCTAGGACACAACAGCCATCTCACTGCCTCTGGGGGTAAGCAGAGCCGGTGATGACGAGGGAATGGGCCAGGCTCACCTCGGCATCAGCTCCTGCCAGGCCTGCTCGGGTGATGAAGGCATCGTCTTCCAGGAGGGACCTGCAAAGGAGCAGAGTCTATAACCCGCACCCCCGCCCCCACAGTCCCCAGGGCACAAGATGATTCAAGGAAGGAGAAGGAGCTTAGAGGGGCTAAGTGAACCTAGACAGACTCTTCTCCAGAAGGACAGAATTGCGGAATGGAATCTCACAAGTCACTGAAAGTGATGATTTTTAAGTTTTTTAAAAACGTAGAATCCCTTTAAAAACAACAAGTAAGAGAGAAAATCAGAACTGCCTGGGCTAAAATGAAGGTGGAGAGTGGAGCACTCACAAAGAGCCTCTCTGTCTCACAACTGTGGAGAAAGTTCAGAAGAACAATCTGAGAGCCACCAATTTGAGAGTCAAGCATCTAGGTCAGTCCTCTTATTCCGAGGGTAAGAAAACGGAGGCTCAGAGAGCTTCAGGAACTGCCCAAGGTCACACAGTAAGCAGGACTAGAAGGCGGAACCTCTGACCTCCAGTTCAGTTCCGTTCTCACTCCTCTAGGATCCTCCCCTGCCCCGCAGCTGAAGGGAGGACAGGAAGGTCGTGGCCCTACAAGCAGGACCCACTGTGAGTGGAAAGGGGGGGCAGGGCAAGAGCATTCGGCCTGAAATGGGGCTTGGATGCCTGGGTGGTCCCACGTGCTCACTTTGGTCGAAGCCTGGAGGGAGGGGGCGCCTGGGCTACATCTGGAGGGTCTCTGGCACGTGACATTAGTTTAACAGGCTTCTCAGGTGGTGTCGCTGAAAAAAAGAAAAGAAAAGATGTGATTCGGCCACGGAGAACTGGAGTAGAGATGGAAAGGACTGCAAGTTGCCCACCAAGCTGTCTCCCACATTTTCCTACTGAGAGAGGGGCCTTTTTGGAGGAAGGAAACTGACCCTCGAGGCAGGTCTCTTAAAAACCTGCATGGAGGAGGGCATCATACATTTCCAAGCGGGAAGTCAACCCAACTGGTGCCAAATCAAGAGGCTATTCCTGCCCCCGAACAGGAATGCAGAAACAACGCACTTCCATCGTCCACGGGCTTGTGCTCTGTGCATGCTTCTGGGCCAAGGTGGGGGGAATCTCAGCCACATTGTGGCTGGTGAGCTTTGCTGACCCCAAAGCCCTGTTTTTCAGTGCAGCAGACAGGGACACACAGGGTAAGGGACTTGTGTCCAGAATACAGAAAGAACTCTTACAAACCCAGCAATCAAAAGACAAATCACTCAGTTTGAAAACTCAGTAAAGATCTGAATAGACCTTTCTTCAAAGATATAAATGGCCAGGAAACACATGAAAAGATGTTCAAGTTCATTAGTCATCATTAGTCATTAGGAAAATGCCCATCGAAATCACAATGAGATGTAACTTTACACCCACTAAGATTGCTATTTGTTGTCGTTGTTTAGTCACTAAGTTGTGTCCGATTCTTCTGTGACCTCATGGACTGTAGCCTGCCAGGCTCCTCTGTCCATGGGATTTCCCAGCAAGAATACTGGAGTGGGTTGCCATTTCCTTCTCCAAGATTGCTATAATGAAAAAGAAAATAACAATTACCGGCAAGAATGTGGAGAAATTGGAACCCTCTTACACTGCTGATGGGAATGTACAATGGTACAGTTCCTGTGGGAAACAGTTTGGCGGGTCTTCAAGAAGTTAAACATAGAGTTATCATATAATCCCATAATTCAACTCCTAAATTTACACCAGAAAGAACTGAACACATAAGCCCACACAAAAACTTGTACATGGTTGCTCATAACAGCATTATTCATAATAGCCTAGCTGAAATGTGGAAACCACCCAAACCTCCATCAATTGATGAATGGCCAAACAAAATGGGGAGTATAGAACAACGGAATATTGTCCAGCCATGGAAAGGAATGAAGAGAGGAATGTTACAGTGCAGACAAACCTCGAAAACGTGGAAGGTGAAAAGAAGCCGGATGCAAAAGCCTCATATTGTATGATTCCATTTAATGTAAAATAAGGCAAATTCATAGAGAAAGAAAGTTAAGTAAGTGGCTGCCTAGGGGTGGAGGAAAGGAGAGTGAGGAGTAACTGCTGATGGTGTGGAGCTTCTTTATAGGGTGATGAGAATGTTCTAAATTCGGCTGTGGTGGTGACTGCACAATTCTGTCAATATACTATATGTCACTGAATCGTACACTTTATAAAAGACCGAACTTTATGTGAATTATATCTCAGCTAATAAAAGAGAGAGAGAGCAAGCCTGAATCAGGGGGTTCTGGGGAAGGGGCACTTACTCTCATCTCCCAGGACGTCACCAAGGACATCATCGATGGAGTCTAGAACAGAAAAGGGCCACTGTGACTTCAGGAGGAAAGAAGGGTCCTTTAGGGCCTCATAATCCAGGATACCCCACCTGGATACTTCTGGATACAGAGCCCAATAAAAAGGATTTTTCCCTGAGTCCCATCTGTTGTTTATTTCTGAATTACTCCTAGGGCCAGTGAGGCAGCATAGGGAGTTCCGTAAGAAAGCACAAGCTGCCTCTGGGATTACAGGGAAAACAGCAAGACTCACACCAAGGCACTTCCCTAGGGGCCCAGTGGCTAAGACTCCATGCTCCCAAGGGAGGGGGCCTGGATTCAGCCCCTGGTCAGGGAACTAGTGACTGCATGCTCAGTCATGTCTGATTTTTCGCAACCCCATGGACTTTGTTGCCCACTAGGCTCCTCTGTCCATAAAATTTTCCACAGTAATAGATCCTACAACTAAAGATCCCAAGTACTGAAATTAAGACTTGGCACACACAAAAAAGAGATGTTCACTGAGAACATTCACTGAGAACATTCAGGCAGACACTTCTAAGTTATATGGACTCAAGGTGGGGGAATTATTTTTGGCTTATGGGTGATTTTTCATCCCCACTCACCTTTCAATCTTTTCTTGGTTTTTGGTGCCTAAAAAGGGAAAAACAACTTCCATGAACAAGATCAGACAGTGAATGTGTACTAAAACCCAGAATGCCAAATGAATTGTCTTGCCTTTTGCAAAGATGGGGACAAGGAGCACCAGTGGCATTTGGGGACAGATGCCCTTTATAGTTTTCTTAGAGTTTCTCAGAATAGACTCATTCAGAGCATGAAAAGGGCCACCCCCAACCATCAGTGGATGGCGCAGTGGGTGCCATCTGGAGGGTGGAAGTCTCTTCTTTCCCCCAGATTTCCAGACGCCACACACAACCCCTCCCAGGATGTAACGTTTTCCTCTAATCCATGTCCCTGACTGTTCAGTATCAGTGACAGACACATAAAAATGCTTTCCAAATGGATATTCAGAGGCTCAAAAGAGATGCTTGCTTACTGTTTAATAAGAAGTTGCTTTTTTTCTTTTATGACATGCTATACAGCTTGCTGGACCAGGGATCGAACCTATGCCCCCTGCATTGGGAAGCAGAGTCTTAACCACTGGACCGGCCAGAGAAGTCCAATTAATAAGTTTGATATCCATGCTCCTAATCATCATTCTTCTTTGGGGCCACCCAGTCCACAAAGTACTTCATGCAGTCAAGCTCTTGGAGGTGGAGGCAGGGGGAAGGGTAGACTCCCATTTCCACACACCTGCTCTGATTCTGTGCTGTTGGAGAAGACTCTTGAGAGTCCCTTGGACCACAAGGAGATCCAACCAGTCCATCCTAAAGGAAATCAGTCCTGAATATTCATTGGAAGGACTGATGCTGAAGCTGAAACTCCAATACTTTGGCCACCTGATGTGAAGAACTGACTCATTAGAAAAGGCCCTGATGCTGGGAAAGAGTGAAGGCAGGAGGAGAAGGGGATGACAGAGGATGAGATGGTTGTATGGCATCACCGACTCAATGGACATTGAGTTTGAATAAGCTCCGGCAGTTGGTGATGGACAGGGAAGCCTGGAGTGCTGCAGTCCATGGGGTCACAGAGTTGGACACGACTGAGCTACTGAACTGAACTGCTCTGCGTTCTGCTTACCATCTCAAGGCTCTGGGGGCTGCTTCTAGCTCCTTCACAGTGCTGTCCAGCTCACTGGAATTCTGCCTGTCAGGCTCATCCTCCCTAATGAAGAAAATTAAAGTGTCTGCTCACAAACGATTTGGCTTTAACAGTGCCTGAGTCAAAGATTTGATAAAGCCTTCTCTCACTTTATGAAAACCTATTTTCATCAGTTAAACATTCCTTATGGAGGGTGATTCATATGAGAGGCAAAGTGTTCTGGGTAACTTTTCGAGGCTTGGAGATTATTTGAAAAAAGTGAAGTGGTCCTCATTCCTTATTCTGAAAGAGGATACAGAAAATGGCAAGTCCCCATCTTAGGGAAGAGGTGGGGGTCTGGCACTGTGTTCAATACACCTTTCCAGGCAACACTCAGGACTACTTTCCCAGCAGCAATCATCACACAGAACGGATGTGAAAGCCGGTTACTCCTTGAGAGTATTTTCACAATCGGTGGAAAATTTCCCCCTTTAACTGTAAATCCAACTCGCTCCATTAGTGGTGAACTGTTTTCCCCAGAATTATCATTCTTTCCCGCCCTCCTCAAAAAGTTACACAAACTGACCTTTGGCACAGCTTGGAAGAAAGTAATAGGAGGTGGGCAGCTCTAGTTGTCTGGTGCCGGCCTGTCTTGTTACTAGAATGCAAAGTTAATGTGGGGTTACTGCCCAGGGGCCACTCTGAATGCCTGAGTTTCTCCTTCTCTGTAATGGCAGTGCTCACGACCTACAAGTCCCAACGTGTTTCGTCTCCTATCACATCTAGGAGCGTCTCCCACTTCCCAGTGATCCTGTCCCAGCCTCGCAGACCGTGGGAATTTCTAAGGGAAGCTGCAAAGGCCTCAGGACCACAGGACCATCGCATCGTTGTGCACAGCCAACTCCGTGCCAGGCGTTTTAAACGAAGGTTTAAACGTTTAAAATCCTTTAGCTAGGGCCCTCCCGGTGTCACCTCCTCGGTCCACGCGCCCAGCCCATCTCGATCCCGAGCGCAGCCTATGATCCTTCCAGCCCCTGAAATCCTCCCCACGCTACCCGCCCCCCGGTTACGTGCCATTTCCCTCAGAGACGCAGCCCCTGGGACGTGTCCCAGACATAGCTGCTGGTCCAGCATTCACTCCAGCCGGGTTCAGTCAGGCCTCCAGCTTCGGAGCGCTACGGACGCCAATCTCTCAGTCGCCCGGCCTCCGGAAGAAAGGCGAGGCGCGAAGCATCCTGGGGGTTGTAGTCCTAAACCTGCTCACCTACTAGAGCCAAGGGAGTACGGGGCGCTGGAATGAACCACATTTCCCAGGGTGCGCCTCCGCGGCCGTTAGTCGGCGCATCGCGGCCTCTTAGCCGCTGGGCGCGTTGCTAGGAGCTGCCTGAACGCCCCTTTGCTAAGCGGACGGTACCTGGGTTCTGAGGCCGGTGAGCTTCTTCCTCCCGGTTTTCTGCAAAACTACCACTACCTGGGCTCCAAAGTGAAAGTCGCTCAGTTGTGTCCGACTCTTTGTGACCCCATGGACTACACAGTCCATGGAATTCTCCAGGCCGGAATACTGGAGTGGGTAGCCTTTCCCTTCTTCGGGGAATCTTCCCAAACCAGGGATCGAACCTCGGTCTCGCCGCATTGCGGGCGGATTCTTTACCAGCTGAGCCACAAGGAAAGCCCATGTAGGTTCCAAACCAAACATTTAAAGTTCTTCCAGGAACTTCCCTGGTAGCCCAGTATTAAAACCGCACTTCCACTGCAGGGAGCACGGGTTCGATCCCTGGTCTAGGAAGTAAGATCCAACATGCTTCATGCTGCAGCCAAAAAAAAAAAAAAAGTTATTTTAGCGTCCTTTTGAGGGCTGACTGGTGGAAAGGTGGAGGGCATGAGAAATGTGTCAAGAGTGGAAAACTGATGGGCAGTGAAACCATAAAGGCTAGGAAAGTGGCTGTGACCTTCAGTTATGAAAACCAAAGCTGTGAAGCCAGGATGAAACCCAACACCATCACCTAATAAAGACAGTAATACTTTTTGTGTTGATTACAGAGTTTATTAAGGGTTTTTCAATTTTACAAAGGAAGATGGGGTTAGTGGTTTGGCTTATTCGAAGGTTGGTGGGTCACCACTGTCCAACCATGACTCAAGTCTTTCAACCTGTGCACCTCCTCCAGTACTCCCACCTTCACTGACATGTCCTGCCAGGCATGTGGAACAATACATACTAAATACACTTCATCAGGTAGGAACCTAACTCAAACCAGGACAGTTAAAGGGGTAAGAAAGTAGCAAATTATATGCACCAAAGTAATTTCCTTGAATTCATAGCAATTGGAAATGTTTACAGTCACCAGTTGGAATATTATGCAGAGGATGGACAATCACGTTGTTACCTAATCTGTGAAACAGTTGACAGTAACGTGGTTAAACTGTTTTGCTTCAGAATTCTTAGTATCCCTCCCAATGTTCCATGATTTTCCTCAAGATAATCCACTTACATATAAGACAAAATAAAAATAAAAAATCCCCTGAAACCTAGGAATTTGCAGTTTGCAACGGCTAACATCTGATAACCCTAAAATTTCCTCATGTTTCTATATTTACTATCATGGACCACAGGAATAATAATGAAAATTTGAGTTTTGAGAGCTATAAGCAAAACTCTACCAGTATTTTAAAATGAAAAGACATTTTATTCATTTACAGTGACTTGGTCTAATCCTCTAGGAATGGAATAATAAATATTCAACTAGCTGATCTCTGCATTTTTCCATGAAAACCTTTCAGTCAGGAGACTGGACTCTTGGCCTCAAGTAGAATCATCAGTTTCCTGGCAAGGCTCCTCTCCAGTTGGTGCAGCAGCTACTGCTTGAGGACAATCTATAACCCCAGGCATACCTTGCACAATACCATCTGCATCTAGTCTTTTTTTTAACTGAGATGGATAGAAAGAACTCAGAAAGGGGTAGGACTCTGAGCAGCAGTCATTAGAGGAATTTTTGTTCCCTAGAGAACTCAAGGATCATGAATCAATATTTCCCCAACCAAAGCTTGCACTGTAGAAAATCCAAGAATTGAGTTCTAATAACATGTTAAATGTTACGAATGGTTAAATGCCTCCAGGTGTATATTATCTGAAATTACAACCAGTAAGTTCTCAGAAAGTATGTGAACATGGTTAATATTGCAACTAAGTGAATGTTCTTGAAGATAAGCTGCTACTTAGTGGTATGATGTTCTGAAGACAAGAACAGGAAAGCCCGCAAAGGCTTTGGGACCAACTGTGCTTTGAGGTCACTTATGTCCAAACACTGAAGTATACCTCAGTATCTATTGAGTAGATATGAAGTAGAAATCCAAATACTTCAGGATGTAGCAAACTTCATCCATTACAAACAGCAAAAACCTCATGAATCTTCAAAGGGTTATGTCAGTATCATCTAATAGAAACATTAAAGTCAAAGTGAAGTCGCTCAATCATGTCCGACTCTTTGCAACTCTGTGGACTGTAGCCTACCAGGCTCCTCCAACCATGGGATTCTCCAGCCAAGAATACTGGAGTGGATTGCCACTTCCTTTTCCAAATAGAAACATTAATTCTGCTCAGATTTATCATCATTTTGGAGATTAGGTTGAAATTTGTCTGTTCTCTTTATGAAAATGGCTCACAAAAGAACCCAACAGAACCAACCTTATCTGTGGCATTCTGGCTTCTAAGGGACAGCAAGTTGGGTCTGCTGCTGCTTTATGAGAAACCAACAAACCCATATTCCTGCATGGACAGAGCACCCAGATACTCTACAAAGACAGCATCATGGCAGGTTTAGGGCTATCTGCTCAGGCACTCACTCCTTCCTTCCTTCTTTTGTTTAGTGTTACCTAAATCTACATCTTAAAATTCTTCATAATTTAAACTTATGTCTAATTTTATGTGGCACATTCTTTCCATCTTGATAGTGACAAATTCTTGAGGTCTTATTGTACCTTTATCCTTTAATTACAGTGACTAAAGTTCAAAATATTCCAATGTTAATAAAAATACTGCCAATATCAGATCTAGCTTTTAAATAAAACTCAAGGTGCTGGACTGAAGGTGGCTCTGGCAGAGTCCACCACCATGTTTCAAACTGCTTAGATCCCAGACCTATGCAGCTGGATTGTGTGGGTGTCATTTCAAAAACCCTCATGTCCTGGCCATGGGTTAGCCCTCTGTGAATAAGATTTTTAACCACTAACTGGAAACAATTCTATATTTAACAGGTTAATATTAAGTAATCTGAATTTACTGTTATTTCCCAGAATCGGATCTAGTCCCAAGAGATACCCATAAGAGATTTACAGTGCTTTTTTACTTCAATGTTAACACAATGTTATCAATTAGTTCTCCTGTTGTAAAGATTAAGTCTTATGTCAACAGGCAGTATTTCTTCTGCTGGACCTTAAAGTCTCCTATTACTAGTTTCACTGGGATAGATTTTATGTAAGGTCCCAAGAAGGGAATTACATACAACATTCTCAAGACTGACTCTAGAACAACTGGCTTCATGAGACAGAGGTTACAAGTATAGTTAACAAAAACAAAAAAAGTGATTTGTTTTACATTGATTTGAAGAAAAAAATTCATCATGAGATACATGTTTAGCTTTTTTTTTTTGGTTGTCAAATGATCCTTTATTTTTCTTTTTCCTTTGCAGTTCTTAACTAGCTGGGCACTCCACTGCACCACTGTTGATATCATCTATGATGTCATGAGGGTGGTGGCCATCAACATTGCAGCCCACAGACTGGGCGGTCCCCAGGATCTCTTTAATGGTTCCAGAAAGTTCTCTAGCTAGAGACCAATGTCGCATCTGCCGGGCAATGTTGACGATCTCATCAAAAGTGATGTTTCCACTGTGCTTAATGTTTTTCTGCTTCTTTCTCTCCCTTGGTGGTTCCTTGAGGGCTTTGATGATCAGGGCAGAAGCAGAAGGTACCACCTCAATCTGGGCTTGTCTGTTCTGAATGGTCAGTTTCACTGTAATCCTCAGACACTTCCAATCACCAGTTGCCTTGGCTATGTCATCACCGACCTTTTTTGGAGACAGGCCCAAGGGGCCGATCTTGGGGGCCAGGGCAGACGTGGCACCGACTTCCCCACCAGTGCACCTCAGGTACACGACTTTGATCTCGTTGGGGTCGAACTTAGGCGGCATGGTGGAGGCGGCTGGTGTCGGATGAACCCGGATTCGGGACGACTGAAGAAAGTTGCACCTTAGCCTCCTCCTAGCCGAAAGCGCTCTTTTTTTTTTTTTTCATGTTTAGCTTTTAAATATAGAACGATTGTATAAATTAGACTTCAGCTGAAAGGACAATTTAGCAAGTCAGATAAAGCTCCTAGAAACATACTGAAAATAAAGCCAGATACACCCTAAGAAACATTCTATGGAGCTTCCATTTATCCTTTAGCCACTGTTTCAATGATTATATTTTCTGTTTAAAAAATCAGAACACATGGTTTGTCAAAGGACTTTCCTGGGTATAAGAGGCAATGAGTGATGCTTTTACTTTTCTAAGGCCAGACACAGTAACCTCCAAGCATTTAATGGCTTCTGCCAGAGTGCCAGAATATAGGAAATCTGGATTGTTCTAGAAAATGTAGTTACCATGGTCACCAAAGTTACAGTAACCATAACTGATAGCTCTCCATGCCCTTATTCTTCTAAGAAGGAACTGTGACTATTTTTCTCCTTTCTTTAGCATCTTTCACAGGAGAGGGAGATCAAAACGACTGATCTGGAGATCTCATCAGTTGCCAAAAGTTATATGTAGAGATGACTTTACTGCCTCCCTCTTCCCGAGAAGTTGAGGCAAAGGGAGCTATAGTTTTACTAGCGGATCATTTAGGGAACCCTCCAACGGAAGCTTAGTTCTGAATTACACAGGGCAGGGACCCTGCAGGAGCATGTGCTCAAGAAATCTTCAGGTTGGAAAGATGCTACTGTGAAGACTTAAGACAGGAGCAATACATCAATAAAGGAGGGCAAGCAGGCAGGAAAGGTGTCAGTGCGTCAGGCATGAACTCACAGATTTCCTGATTAGTTTCTTTTCCCCAGTCTCTCTTCTTCACTCATGCTTTCTAGCCGGGGCCCCTGGCAGCTGTGTTAGGACATGAGCAAGGACGCTTGGAAGGGTTCTACCCTGCTTAAAAAAACACCTTTGTTTAAAAACACTTGTATATCCAATGATTAGCAATTAAGATGTGAAAATAATTAACTACTTAGTAGTTAAATTTTACTAATTATCAAAAGTCCTGGCCTCCTGGGATAGGCAGCAATATAGATGGAAGTTGCACTGCATTTCTTAAAGCTTTTTCTGAATGCTTAATAGTCTCTTTCAGTGTTAATTGCACTTGTAAAACACATCTGGTTTTTTCCTTTAATTTGCAAAATCTGTTCATTTTTTTTTCATTTATAAAGAGAGGAAAGGGTCAATTCATCACTTGCTCTACAGCTTTTCTGAATTCGATCAAGACTCCACGCAGATCTGCGTGACAGGTGTAAGGAGAACAGCCCCTCTCAGGGGCAGACTGCACTTGTCATCAAGCCACGTCAGAGCTTGGACTGCAGTGACTTTAGGTGCTTGTAAGATTCATGGACCTGCAGGGGAGGGAGAGAGAAAATATTACTGATAAGGAGCTTGCAATTTAAAATAGCTTTTTTTTTTTCTGCACTGACTCCTGTGACTCAGAGGCTCTTGTTGTGATGCAGGGGCTTCTTGAGTTGTGGCACGAGGGCTCTCTAGTCACCCACAGCATGTGGGATCCCAGCCAGGGATCAAACACACCTTTCCTACTTTGGAAGGTGGATTCTTAACCACTGGCCCACCAGGGAAGTCCCAAAATAACGTACTTTTAATCGAAAAATTATCTGAACCTTATTTGGATCCTGATTCAAAAAAATCAAAGGGGGGTGGGGGGAGAATTGAGCTAACTGGGAAAAATCTGGACACTGACTGGCTAGTTCATGATATTAAAGAATTATTGTTAATTTGTTTAGGTGCGAGAATGGTACTGTGGTTATGCTTTTTAAAAAAAAGAATCCTTATCTTTCAGAGATATACTGAATATTTATGAATAAAATTACCTGATACCTTGGATTTGATTCAAAATAATTCTCAGTTGGGAGGTTTAGATGAAATGCAACTGGTCATGAGCAGACAGTTGTTGAAACACGATCAAGGAAGGGTACAGAGAGATGCACTGCAATGTTCTATTTGTGTATATGTTTGAAATTTTTCCATTGTTGTTAGTTAAGGAAACTAAAAACCCACATACTATAGGAAAGATCTTGTTCCCTTCAGAACCTTCCTCTCAAATAAAGGGACTGTCTGAAGTGGTCATGAGAGCTCGCAAAGCTTCCACAGGTGGTCATTCTCCGAGGGCTTTCCTGCCTTAATATTTAAATGAATAACTTCAAAAGGTGAAAGACACTTTTTTTTTACCTCTGTTTTGTTCAGTGGAGATTTCTTGGCCCATTCAAACAAGTTTTCATACACATTCCCATCATAGCGGCCAAGCACAGAGCCCAGTGTCACATCCTGAAAATCAAATGCATCCACCAGAGCGACCGCGTCAGGGCGAATCTCAGTCAGCAGCTCCTTTATGCGCTCATTCACCTGGGTGATCTGAGACTCTGTCATGATGCTCCCCTAAAGGGAAGAAATGAGCAAGCAAGCACAGACGTTATAAGGTACGTATACAGATGGACGTTTATGAATATACAGACACACACATATGCACAACTACAAAGTAAACCAAAATTATTTTCTATAAAAAATTAAGAAGTAAATAAATAAAGGGATTTAAACTTAGAAAATCCTGACCTGAAGAAAATCTCCTGCATTCTGACTGATTCCATACAAAGAATACAAGAGACACAAACGCCTTAGGACAGCTTGGATGGACTTCTCTTGAATCTGGAGGACTTTTTCCATAAAGAGCTTAACTGCCACATAGTGGCAATGTGCCTAGATATAAGGAAAACACCAGAATGTAAGAATCTCTGAAAAAGATTCAACAGTGATAAGGTTTCTGTACCAAGAAAATGAGGCAGGTGGTGAAGGATGGAGGTAAGAGGAGGGGGAGAGGAGAACCATCACTGACCTCACTTGCCCGAACAAGGTCAATGGACGTTAGGTTCCACGCTACCTCCTTGCTTTTTCTGTGAATCACTTCAACCTGAAGGTTTTTAGCAGCAATCTCTACTAATCTGTTTAAAAAAAAAAAAAAAACCTGGAAAACTGGAGCCCAAGAAGGTGACGGTAAATACTCGTGCCTCCCACCTAGGCCCCGGGCCTGAGGCCCCTGCAGCGCCGGTCCCAGCTCTTGTGGGTGCACTCACCTGGCCGCTCGAAGCTTGTACGCCTCTGTCAGGCTGTTGGGGCTGTTGATGTCCACCACGGTTGGCCAGACGGCCACCTGCTGTGGCTGGATGCGCTGGCTGGGCAGGTCATTCAAGTAGGACACCATGCCACACACCAACTTGCCTGAGTGCACCTGGTCGTAACTTTTCATCAGGAACCTAGAAGTCACCAGGACACATGTTCTTAGTAACTGTGCTTCTCGTGAAACAGAAATAAGATGAACTCCTGTAATGACTTCAAACTATGTGACAGGGTTTCGTACTAGTCTGAGCACAAGATAAACATCCTGGGTCAGGATGGAAGGCAAAATGACATCTTTCAGGAACAAACATAATGCAAAGAGAAAACATGGGAACAGGTATCAGTGGAAAGGACTCGGACATTCTTGAGAACATAGGATAGAAATCATGAATTAGATTCTTACCTGGCTGTCTGCAGCATCATGACAGTGTTTTCCCCCTCGAAGGTGCAGGTTGGGGTAAAATTGACGTAAATATTTGGAAGTCCACTGCTGTGAGAATAGCCATGTCCGCCACAAGCCATCCGACAGGCTTCAATAGCTGTGTTTGTTGTCCAGGACGTGAAAGCCTTCAGCCCAGCGGTGAGCGCGTGAAGCTGAAGGGGGAAGCACAGGCCATCAATGTCTGTGGTGTTGACAGCCTGCGTTCCAAATAGACACACTGAACCTCACTTAACAGAAACTGTCACTTGCAGAATCATTTGCCAGGGAATTGCCTGGCATCCAGGGCTCTGTGCTGTCATCGCCAGGGGCCTGGTTTGATCCCTGATTAGGAAAGTAAGATCCTGCAAGCTGCCCGGTGTGCCAAAAAAAACTCAATAAACAAAAACCAAACAAAATCACTTGCCATGTATGTAAACTGAAAAATATCCTCATCTGGTTAGTCTAAACTAATAACTAAACTAATAATTAGTCTAAACTAGTAATATTACCACATTCCCTTCTGAACTGTTCTACGTGGCAAAAAAAGGCACCACTTAGGTTCTTTTGCTCAATAAAGGACCAACATAGAACAGAAATTCTGAAACTTAAAAACATGGATAAATCCATAAAAATATGGATTCTTTTCAAGGTATCCCAATGTTTAATTTTCTCTGCACACGATCCCACAGGAAGTATGAATAAGAAGGGTTCCCACAAGGGACAGAGACCAGACACAGACCTCAGGAAGCTCACTCAGGTCCCCATGGCCGATGTCTTCATTAATCCGATGATAGGTCTCTTTCATGTATGCGCCTACAAACTGGAAGGCATAGGCAGTGGCCAGGAGGGGAAAAAGTTTATATTGCTGGGTTTGATAATCCAAAATCTGTGGTTCTGGTTCACTAAAGTATATGAAAAAAGGAAAAACAAACAAACAAAAATAAATAAATAAATGCCTATACAGAGCTCACTACATGCCAGATTCTGGACTAAGCACTTTGATAGATTACTTTATCTAATCCTCACAAAGATCCTGTGAGGTAATTTTCATTAGCTCTATTTTACAGATAGGGAAAATGAGGTTAAGAACCTACCTGGGGTCACAGATTCTTGATTTAAATCTAGGCTATTTGTAGCTACAGAAGACCACACTCTGAACCACCTTGTTGAACACATGAACAGGATTTTCTAGTTGACATTCGTATTTTTCTTAATCTTTCCAGTTTGACTATGAAAACAGTATTCTCATGGCAACATACAGAACCAAACTTTGTTAACTTCACAGGAGGAAGGCAATGTTGAAGGATGTAAGCTGGTAGAATAAACTATATTCTGACCACTAATATGAGAAGACCCAGCACACTAAGTTTAATATTTAAAGTCTAAGAAGGTCCACTGAGCATGCAAAAAAAAGTCTGCTCTTACCAATTTCTTTATTCCTTCTTTAAGAGTAAAACGTTTATCAAAGAGTCATGCCCAATTAGTAGGCGGTAACAAGAACAAACTACGCCCAGGAACCCAACAGGGAATCAAGTTTAATGTCACTTTCACCATATCCAATTTGTGACTGTTAGGAGCAATTAGAACCCTCACACCACACCTTCAGTGTTTTGAACACTTCACTTATAAAGCTCTAGTAATATTATCGTTTTTCTTAGAAGGTTAAAAGTAATAATTAGGTGCTTATTCTCATCTTTCCACTTAAGGAAGTTTAAGTTCTAAGTAGCAGACCCAGTATACTGCCATCCTAGCTAATTTTATAACAAATGCACTTTCTCCACATCACATTTGGGAATTTCGATATCTGGATGGGGCTCATGCCAGACCTTTAGTACTGAGCTCATCTCAGACTTTACCCTTACCCTGGCTTGATTTCAGACTGATGCCTCACAGCACTGTATCGGATGGCAATGGTGCATGCCTTAGACAGACACCGAGCGGATTCTCCCACGAGCATGGCCCTGATGAACACCATGGTCCCGTAGGTCAGCTTGTTACTCAGGGGTTTTATGTACGTGCCATCAGGCTTCACCTGGAAAAAGAACATGAGACGGATGCTTCCTTCTATTAAACCCAAGTGGCAGTTTATTCTCAAAATGTGGTCCCCAGAAAGGCAGCATCAGCACCACCTGATGCTCAGTCCTTACCCTGACCTCCTAAATCAGAAACTCTGGGGGCTAAGTAATCTAGGTTTTAGCCAGCCTTCCAGGCGACTCTAATGTATGCTAAAGTGTGAGCCCCACTGGTTTAGCAAACCAAGATATGCTCTATGCTCTTCACACCTGTCAACTGATCTGAGTTCATGGTCACAATAAAAGCATCATCAGAAGTAAAAAAATTCTGTTATTACCTTCTAAACGAACAGACCATTCCAACTCTGTGATTATCAACGGCCACTGAAACCCCCATGTCTGACACGTCTGCTCCTATTTTCCATCTCACTGTACCTGGGCATGTTTCATCAGCATGTTTTCTCTGGGAATACGATAGCTGTCCATCTTCAAGTAGCCATTATCCATCTCATCATAGCCAAATTTGGGGCCAATGTCTCCTACGGTAATACCTACCGCAGATGAAAGGAAAGTCACAAGGTGTTTTATGTTCTGGAATTCCTGGCTCCCCTCCTCTTCTTTAGTAATATATTATACTTTTTGTAGAAGACAGTGACTGGTTTAATTAGATAACCCTAACCTGGCAAAGGCTTATGGGTCCCAAGTTCACGAATAGGCACGATGAAGGCATGCAGTCCGTAACACTTCCCCTGAGTGATGAGCTGGGCAAGTACGATAGCATGATTTGAAGTTTTTCCAACTACAACATAAAAGAGAACAAGAGAGGAAAGTGAGCAAACGTTTTACATTTTCAAAAGAGAGAAAAACATATGCTAAATGTAAGATGAAGATTCCATCAATAGCAAAATTCGTTACATTTTGGCAAAGTAAGCCTTCATTTTAAAAATACACACACAGGTGTGTGTGTGTGTGTGTATTTTTACTGGAACATAATTGACATATAACATTATCTAAGTTTAAAGTAGACAACATGTTAATTTGATAGCATTTTAAAGAAGAGAGTTTTACCTGTTCTACTTATTTTTCATTCATTTACATAAAGACATTTTTAGGATAATCATAGAACATTAAATTACTTCCTTTTTCTTCCTTAAGGCAGGGCTTTCCAAAACAGTAGCTACTAGCCACATGTGGCTATTTACATTTAAATTAATTATAATTAAATAAAATAGAAGATTCAGTCCCTCAGTCAGCTAGTTACATTTCCAGTGTTCAGGTGGTCAGTGGCTACCACGCTGAACAGCAAAGACAGAGAGTATTCCACCAATGCAGAACACCCCATTGTACTATAGGATATAGCTGCTTTAAGAGACTTTGGCACATCCAGAAATATTTCCCTTTTATTGCATGCTAGTTTTTTTCCTTATCAAAATGTAATACCACATATTAAAATATATAATGTGGATAACAAAATCCTTCATTTGAAATATATGTATCCTAAAATAATAACTCATAATAGAAGACATATTAAATAAATTTCATATCAAAGCTATTTGTAACAAAAATTTAAAAACTAAAATACTTTCCTTTTTTAAAAAATACTCATTTCTATTTCTGTTTGATTATTTATTTGGCTGTGCCAAGTCTTAGTTGTGGCACACAAGATCTTTAGTTGAAGCATGTGGGATCTATTTCCCTGACCAGGGATTGAATCCAGGCCCCCTGCATTGGGAGGGTATAGTCTTAGCCACTGAACCACCATGGAAGTCCCTCAAATATTTTTCAATACATAAATGACTAACCAAACTGGGAATACTAAATTACTTTAAATGATGATTATGGAAGTTACAATAACACATGGGAATGCTTAGATAAAAATGTATGAAAAGCAGCAAAATTGACAGCTGTCCTCTGCACTTTACAAGTGTATAAATATCTGTAACAGGTAACACAAGAGAATGTGAAAAGCTCAGCATAGTTTAAGCCATAAGAGTTTTTTCTATATTTCAAAATTATATTCTCATAGAAGCTCTACATTCTAAATACAATGTTATAATAAGTCTTCAAAACAACCAGTTACTGTTAAAAAAATTCACTTACGTCCACCAGGCCACCACTTGATGGAGGTCACAGTAGGACTGTTGAGAATGAACTCCTGGGTTTCAGGGTCGTAAGTGGCTGTGGTTTCCAAGCCTCGAAGATGGGTTCCTAAGGAAATGAATTATACCTACTTCAGATAGAATATGGGAAAAAACAGGAACAGGGTAAAATCTCCTGCCCAGTTCCTTTAAAGTGCTAGCATCTCAGAGAGTGACAACTCTAACAATAAAACATCTGTAGATGAGCTACAAATGGTTGATAACCAAGATCCTGAATTTCCAATGCTTAAATCAGGTAGTTCGTATTAAGCTGAAAATAAAAATGTCAAGCATGTTCCATTTCTATATTTGATTTACTGCACAGCAGTGGATAGGGAACATTTATTTACATCAACCAAAAGAAAATGTAAAGACAGATAAGAATCACAGTTTCCCGAGATCACAGGCTATGACTTTAATAGGGAAGCTAACTGCCCTTGTAAAGGCATCTCTAAGTTGTCGGTGTGCCAATTTCAACTTGTTTGTGTTGTGTCTGCCACACCAATCCAACATTCTGGAATTTGGTACCATAACAAAGAATGAGATAACACATGACTCGGAGAGACTGCAGCTAAAGTTCTTGTAAACTGAAAATTTATTTCAGAGTGAATGCTAGAAAGGAAAACAAGTTTTAAAACTTTAAAAGTTATAACCATTATGGGGAAAAGAAGAACTGAAATGGGGACTTTTTAAAAATTTCTAAAAGTCCAACAATAAGGTCCAAGTTCACCCTGCAGGCTTCCAACACTAGGCTTTCATTTATTCCTGACTGGTTCACCACTTTCATGTTTATTGGAGACAGATGGGATTTGTGTTTTAAATCCTAATGAAAAAGTGAAAGTCGCTCAGTCAGGTCCGACTCTGCGACCCCACGGACTATACAGTCCATGGAATTCTCCAGGCCAGAACACTGGAGTGAGTAGCCTTTCCCTTCTCTAGGAGGGATCAAACCCAGGTCTCCCGCATTGCAGGCAAATTATTTACCAGCTGAGCGACAACGGAAGCCCAAGAATACTGGAGTGGGTAGCCAATCCCTTCTCCAGTGGATCTTCCTGACCCAGGAATCAAACTGGGGTCTCCTCTATTGCAGGCAGATTCTTTACCAACTGAGCTATCAGGCAAGCCCTTAAATCCTAATACAAATGTGCCAAAATTCTTTGAAAAAAGTTACAGAAAAATGTTCTAAGTGACCCTCTCCCTATCCTGAAGTCAATGATGAGAACTTCTTACCCGATTGCTTTGATAATGCCAGATTTCATTCACCACTTAAAATTAATTGTAAAACATTCAGAAATTTCCATGTTGAATAACAGAAATGGCCATTTTATGGGTGATCAACAACTTTCCCCTGGGTGGGAATCAAGGAATCAGACAGTGAGACTCCTTTCACCAAAGAAGAAATTTTTATAGAACAGGTAATGACAGAAGCTTGTTTTCAAATGCACAACTGAACCAAATAGTATTTCACTTTGTGTCTTAGGAAAATCCTGTAAAATACTCTTTAGCATCGAAGCTGAAAGTCAAATGAACAATCAAATTAAGATGAAGCTGTTATAGGAATAAGGAACAAAGAGCAAATATACACTAGACCAGCTGTTCTGAAACCTCTGAGTAGGCAAACAGAAGCCAGAAGTAGATGAATGGATACCATTCTAACACAAATAGCAATATAGAATGAGTGCTACCAGGAATAGCCACCAGCTTGAGCCCCATCCAGTTCGCAGAGAAAGGTAGGTCAGGGATGGAAAGAAAAAAAGTAAGGTGGTACATACAGAATGTGAAATCAATTACCTGGAAGTACAACTTATCTTATTTTTACTAAACTTTGGCCAAAGCCACCTTTGGAAGTTTACTGAATGTAGTGAATCAACACAAATAATGTCAAGGTAAAAAATGCTGCATGTTTTGGTTATATAAGCCACTCACTTCCCCTTAGCACACATGCTATTAACATGTATTTCTTCTGGAATATGTGTAAGTTCATTAAGGTATCAGTACCAAAGGGAATCATAGTAATGAAGAAAAAGAGATGGGTTCAGACTCTCTATACAAATTCTGTACAAATGCAGTGAACCTGCAAAACCACTTAGTAAGTAAGACCTAACTCTTAATTCTTGATCTGCTGAAGGGGAACCATGAATAAGTAATCAGTATATCTGTGATAACATAAGCTTTAATTTCTGCTGACCAAGGCACTGTCTATGCCAAGACTTACACATGAGAAAACCTGGAGCACTGCAGAAAGACTGCATTTAAACAGATCTCACACAGCATGTGGAGACACCACCACTGGCACGTGATGGACGCTCCGTGTGCGCTAGGCTTGCAGAGCCCCACCCAACCCAGAAGGTAGACTGAATGCACCATACCATGACCCATCTCTGTTTGGGCATAAGTGCCAATGATCTCCAAGTTCCAGGCAGGCATGAAGAAGCGCTCCTGCTGTTCCTCGGTTGCCTGGTGCAGCAAGGTGGGCAGGAACATGCCCAAGTGAAGATCCAGAGGCCCAGGCTGCCCTCGGTGCACAAAGCTTCAAAGAAATACCAAGGATGGGTATTTGAGAGTCATCAGGTGTGAGAGAATCAGCAATGTGAACAAACAGCAAGGGAAGGAGAAAAAAAATACCTTCTGTTAAGTATGAATTAGTTGAGTAGACTTCATCATGGATGGGAGCACTGCCCCTTTCTGTATTACATTATAACTCTTGGTTATTTCCATTTTTCTTAAATTGGTGAGAAGTATTTTTTAATGTGATGCATTTCTAAAATAACTAATCTTGGCAGAGATTGGAAACTGACTCCAAAGCTTGTGCAGCCAAGACCATGTGACCAAGGCAAAGGATTACAGCCTTGCAATTAAGGTAAATAAAAATTCTGAAGAGGCTTGATGGAATGGAGAATTGAAATTGTACAATGACATATATTCTAATGAAAAGTTGAGACAGGAGAACACAGAAGTTCTCTTGGAAAAAATTTTTCCAGGATCTAATAATAATGTTTCAGGGTTGGAAATCTTTTCTGTTTGTCTATAAAACATCCAGCATTAATCCACATTCCTCACATAATTTTGGTCATTTCATTCGGATTCATTAAAATATCCAGCCACATGCTATTGAAACAATTTAATACAAAAACTGACGGTGCTCTTCACCCCAATAATTAATTTCAGAAATAAAGACATGCCATTTTTAGTGAAGATCATGATATTCACAAATAACAGATTCATGCATAACAAGTGCTCCATTACAGTCATATGGGAATTATCAAAATTATAATAAACATGTTAACTGTCATTTAAAATCCAATTTCTAAAGTCATTCTTTTCCATTTAAAATTTGCAAGTGCCCTAGACTTTTATATGAATTTATTTCTAATAGGAAATAATACTATACAGCTTTGTAATGTTGCATGCTACTGGCATTTTATCTAAATTCCAGCTCTAAATTAATCAATTCTATGTTGCTCTTACTATGTTCTTTATCTTAGAAATGAGCCTAAACATTTCAGTTTCAAAACTTCTTTGTTCCACTTGAGGAGGAAAATAATCAGGGGGAGGGTGCTCTAGGTGAGGGCTGGTCTGTGATGTCTTCTCACAAGGGCTGGGGTGAGCTGAGCTTTCAGCTAACCAATCACATGAAAATCAAAAAAAAATGCACGAATAACTTCCTCATTTTACAAAGAAATTAAAGCTGAGATGAATTAAGTGTTTTCAGATCAGAAAGATAATGGCAGGACTTCCCTGGTGGTCCAGTGGTTAGGACTCCATGCTTCCAATGAGAGTAAGGGGACAGGTTCATTCCAAGTTGGGAAACTAAAAATTCCACAGGCCTCAAAGCACAGCCAAAAAAAAAAGATCATGGCAAAATAAGGACAAGAATCTCATAGTCTAATCATATCTTCTAGTGTAATCCGGGCTGAGGATGACGGTGGGGACATTAGAAAGACCTGCCAAACCAGTTAAGATTTGGAAGCATCAAACTGGAAATCCTATAAGATACTACCACTGGTGGCAACTGAGTGAAAGGTCCATGGGATGTCTCTGGGCTATTTTTGCAACTTCCTATGAATCTATTTCACTTTCATGCATTGGAGAAGGAAATGGCAACCCACTCCAGTGTTCTTGCCTGGAGAATCCCAGGAATGGCAGAGCCTGGTGGGCTGCCATTTATGGGGTCAGGCATGACTGAAGTGACTTAGTAGCAGCAGCAGCAGCAGCAGCATGAATCTATAGTCATTTCAAAATGAAAGGTTTTTTTTTTTTAATTGTGGAAAATCCTTGGAAAAACAACATTCCTGGGACGAGACAGTACCTTTCACTCACAAACAGAAATGTCAACTGTCCTGTTTTTAAAGGAATGGTGTGCAGGAAGAAAAATTAAACATGTGCCTAGGAGCTATAAGAAGAGAACTCTGAGCTATGGCCAAAGGTTGTGGCCTGAGGCTAACCACTCTCAGTGCTGAGAGCCTGCTTTTCCATGGCTAGAAACCAGAGCAATTCCTGGTGAAGGAGAGGTGGCTCTGAGGCACCCCTCAGCCTCATCATGGGCAGGTGTGTATCAGGGAGTAATGACCAACACCAAGACTAGAACCAGAGCAATTCCTGGTGAAGGAGAGGTCGCTCTGAGGCACCCCTCAGCCTCATCATGGGCAGGTGCGTATCAGGGAGTGATGACCAACACCAAGACTAGAACCAGAGCAATTCCTGGTGAAGGAGAGGTCGCTCTAAGGCACCCCTCAGCCTCATCATGGGCAGGTGCGTATCAGGGAGTGATGACCAACACCAAGACTAGAACCAGAGCAGTTCCTGGTGAAGGAGAGGTCGCTCTGAGGCACCCCTCAGCCTCATCATGGGCAGGTGCGTATCAGGGAGTAATGACCAACACCAAGACTAGAACCAGAGCAATTCCTGGTGAAGGAGAGGTCGCTCTGAGGCACCCCTCAGCCTCATCATGGGCAGGTGCGTATCAGGGAGTCACTGAGGAGGGCGGGGGACTACCATCACAGGCTCTTCTGAAGCGGAAGCCATTTCCAGGAGTAAAACGCCTCCTGTAATTAGGGTAAGGATTATTCACAAGTGGAGGAAATGTAGAAACGTTACAAGGACAAAGTTACCTGGATAGTTTTTTATTTAAATCAAGTATTGATATTTGCTGTAAACTTTATGCATGATAAAGATCATAAATTATTTTAAGTTAATTTACTTTATAATTGCAAAGCACCAACATTTTACTTGGTAAGGAGCTGCAGTCAATTCTTTCAAAAGGATCAACACCAAAAGGCTTTGCCCGTATCTCCTACATGACACAGGGCTGGGAAAGCTGGCCAGTAGTGAGGACAAATGATTAGATTAATAACATATGAGAAAGGAAGAAATCAAAATAGCAACTCAATGCACAGCATGGTTATAATCCTAGGAAATCAACAACAAAACACCAATACCATCAATCATAAATTAATTTAGAAAAGGTATAGGCTAAAAAAAAAAATCATTTATTTTTATCCATTAGAACCATTCAAATAGAAATCCCATTAAAGAGAAAGGTGATTTATAACAGCAACAAAATATTTTTAAATTTTAAATAAGTTAGCTCAGAATATTAAAGATTTAATTATGAAAACACATAAATACCCAGTAGAATGAATGAAAGATCCGATCCGAGTAACAGAAAAGAAATCACTAATTCTTAGCTCAGAGTACAAAGGAAAATTAATACTTCCCAAGGAAATACTGGGATTTAATGTAACACAGGTTTTAAATTCCTATAGAATATATTCCATAACTTGATAAAATGAGATCAGAATTCATCAAAAAGAGTAAGTGTGCAAGAACACCAAGTACATATATCTTGATACATAAGCTATAACAATAGTAGACTTATCCTATCAGATTTTTTTTCTATCAGATTTTTAAATATCTTTAAAACAACGAGCCAAAGCTTATAATGTTAGAGAAAACAGAAACAAATTAATGTAATATATTTAAGTTTCCATAAATAAATTGAAACTATTACAAAACTCTAAGATAAACTAGAAAGAACGTAATAAAGTGAAAGAGCTATTAGTTAATAAACATGAATACTGTATGTGAGACTGATCACTGTATCATACACAAGTAAAAACATTAAACACAAATTCAACAAACAAAAAAGGGAATAAAATGGAAGCTAATTACGCAAGATATGAGAAGAAAACTTATACCTAGTCAGAGACGGATGCACTGAGGCCAAAATATTTAATAAAACAGAACCTACAGAAACAATATCATTTTCTAAGATCAACATGCAGATTCAGAAAATGCCAGTTCATATATATGAAATGCAGAGAGTAATATCCAAGCTCATTAGCATTGGTAAATGAAAACTTTAATTCTTAGATAGATATAAAAGTAGCAAAAAACCAAAGTCACCATGTTGATGGGACAAAGGAGACACGAGTACACTAAATATAGCAAAACCTATTCCATGTCTTATGCAACAAAATCTATAAAGTGCTCATTCTCTTCAAATGTAGTCATTCATCTCTGAGAAAGATATTCCAAAGGCATAACCCAAAGAACACAGCTTTTGTAAAGATGTTTATATTGTTATTACTAACAGTGAGGAAATTAGAATATCCAGAGAGCGAGTCTCATGGGAAGGCCAACAGGGAAGGGAATCACTCTGGGAAAAAAGAGGATGGGAGGCTATTGGAGAGACAGAGCAGTGAGATCCAGGGAGGGGAAGATTAGGGACTTATAAGATCAAGTGCATGACCTATTTTTCAAGCTTCAAAGGTAGAGTATTTTCACAGTTTAGTATTAGAGATGGGAATCTGCAAAGATACTGCAGCATCCTCAAGGATGATAAGCATGTACTACAGAAGCTTTATTTCCCTTAATAATTATAACAATAACAGAAAAGGCAAGAAGAATCCCTATGAAGTGGCCAGAATTTGAAATGATCAACTAACCATGATGACCAAAACACTATCTGCTTTGTGACCTGGAGAGACATATGGTCAGGAGATAATTAACCCTAGACCATGTCCCAGACAGTCTCTTTAACAGTGGAGCCCCAGGGATAGGGTGCCCTCCTCGGTCTAGGCCAGATCCACAGACCCAGTATGTGTTGGGCTTGTGTGCCTGTACAGACAGGAGTGTGTTTACAGGAAGGAAGAGAGAACACTGGTGAGCTAGATTTTCTGCAGGTGGTTGAATTTTAAGATTCTTGAGGATCCTGGAATATGATTGAGTACTTTTAAGTTTCTTCACTTCTCAGAGGCTTCCTAGAGGCGAAAGAATCCCAAACTGGAATGTTACAGCTACAGTAAGAACGCGAGATAATCACTGTTGACCAATGTTTCAAAGTCTCAGAATTTAAGTAGTCAAATCGTCATCCTGTACAAGTTGCTCTATTTCCAATCCCACTGATGCTGAAGTACTTTTTATATATTCTCGATAAGATTATACTTTCATGGGATGTTAATCAGCCAACAGACTGGCTTTTTAGGAAAAGAACGGCACTCAGCGAAGCACAACTAATATGAACTGACA